TATCCATAAAAAATAACTATTTTTTTTTATATTGGACTAAAAATTGGAGTTTTATATAAAATGTGATTGATTTTATTAGGTAATTTTTAGAATTTTATAGAAACGATTTTTACAAAAATTATTTTTATATCAATTAATGAATTTATTTTTATATAAATAAATAAATACTGAAATACGGAAACACACTTTCCATGATTTTATTAGGTAATTTTTAATTAATAAATATTTTTGATTTTAATAATTCTTGTTTAATTAGATTTACTTTTGTTAGAAAAACTCATAATAAATAGATAAATAGGTAATTTGTGTTAGAGTTTTATAGAAACTCTTTCAGAACCTCTTTTTATATCAATTAATAAATAATTTTTTATATTAACAATACTTGTCTAATTAGATTTCCTTTTATTAAAAAAACTCATCATAAATAGATAAATAGGTAATTTGTGTTAGAGTTTTATAGAAACTCTTTATATATATATTTTTAGTGTGATATAGTTTTATTGAAAATAAAATAGGTAATTTATGATAGAGTTTTATAGAAATTATTTTATTTTCTTTAAATATATCCTTGTCTAATTAGATTTAATTTTACTAAGAAACTCATAATAAAAGTTAATTTATGGTAGAGTTTTAGAAAAATTATATTGTCTTATATATCAATTAATAAATATTTTTATATTAATAATTATTTTCTAATTAGATTTTCTTTTATTAAAAAATTTATAATAATAAATAGATAAATAGGTTAATTTATGGACCATTTGGTCAAGAAAAATTGATTATAGATTGAATTTTAATTTTATTAGGTAATTTTGAGTTTTATAGAATTTATATAGTGGGATATAATAATTAATGAGAGCTCTTTTTTGTGAATTAAACTCTTTTAAGTAATTTTGAATTTTATAGAATTTATATCAATTAATACTGAAATTCTTTGCACAATGGCCGAGAAAGTGGTACTACACTTGATCTTAGCCAAAAGACCAAGAAAGGTTAGCAAAAGGCCGACCCAAAAAAGTTTAGTACTACACTTGATCTTAACCAAAAGGCCGAGAATGTGTGATTATTATTTCTTTAACTCTATAATTTTATAAGAGACTTTCAAGTAATCCTTTTTACTTAAAATCAATGTGGGAATTTGTAATTTGAATTAAACTATTTTTATATATTGTTAATTTGAATTAATTTTAATTTTATTAGGTAATTTTGAGTGTTATAAAATTTATATCAATTAATAAATAAATACTGAACTACTGAAACACTTTGCATATTTAATAATAGTACATATATATAACAATTTTTATGTACCGTCCCTTTCACCGTGACCACCACCACGGCCTTGGTTTTTATGTACCCTGCCCAAATGTAATTGGGTTGGGACGCTTATGAATTTGTGCAAAATGGATTGATTCCTTGTCTGCCACTTGTAAGTGCATTGATTCACTTGCAAATTGTTTGATATTGCTTGAACAATAATGTCATTACCTGGACCTCTGTGATTAAATGAGGGTAAAATGATTATTTTAGTTACTTGATATTTTGGAATAAATATAATTAAAAAATTATAGGTAAAATTGTCTTTTTGTGCATTTTTAATGGTGTTAGTAACATAAAAGTAAAATTGAATCTAAGTAATAATAATTTTCAAAAATTATTTTAATGTAATATTTGTCCAAACTTGAAAGGGTGTAACTGAAATTAACCAAAAAAAAAAAAAAATTGGATTTGGGGCTTTTAAAAGGAAAAAGCGAGAGAGAGCCATCAACGGTCCAACTTGGATTTGGGACTTTTAAGTGCGGCCTATGGGCCAAGAAGTTTTGGCCTATCTTTAAAAAGTAAAAATCGTTACTGTGACATGGCCAATATTTATGGCGCTCGATATCTTGTTCTCGTACTGTTGTTGAAAAATTCATTATGGGCTGGTTGACAAGGCCCAATCAAATAAATTAACCCCCGTCAGTGAGTTTGTATCAACAATTTTACTAAAATCTACCCGTTAAAAATACAAGCTCATGCTATCCTCTAAATAAATGCTCTAAATTTTCAATAGCAATTAAAGATAGGTAGGTTAAGTATTTATTAGGTGCATTCGATCATTACCCTTCTATCTATTATATTATTCTTGCTCTGTTCCAAAATTAATATCCAATTTGAAAAGTTCAGTGTCTTTACAACCTAATAAGGTAAATTTCTAAATTTCAGATGGATAGATTTGAAATTTTAAAAGGAAAAAGAATCCATTAAATTTATTTATTTGAAAAGTCAAAATCCTATAGTAAAAGTAAGTTATAAGACTCATTGAAACAACTATTGTTGATTTTGTTAGAAAAGTAGCTCCTGATTCAGGCTTACTGGAGAATTACATATTGCCTGCTCATTTGTATGGGATATATAAAGATATGTTTTACATTTATTTTTACCTCTCATACTCCTAACAAAGTGATGTAGGTTGATAATACCTTAAAAAAAAAAAAAATTTAAATATCAATTTTTGAGAATTTTTGAAATTTTTGGTGACTGCCTTTTTTCATGTGTCACATCTCTAACTTTGCTTCAAGATTTTAAGCATTTTTTAAGGCTCTACCTTTTTCCAGTGTCATGCAAGAGGTAATCTCTAAAATAGGACCTGCAATGAGACACTCACTGAGTCACTGGCATTGAAACATCATGTGATAGCTGCAGGAGCAAACTTATAAAGGATACATAGTTGCAGGTGTAGACTTATAAAATGTCATGCCCTCTGAATGGTGAGTGGAACTATGCATGCCCTCTGAATGGTGAGTGGAACTATGCATGATTATAGACTATTGTAGAGAGAAATAAAAGATTATAGAATATCAGAGATTTTGTATAAATTTGTAAATTATTGAAAAAATATATCTAGATTTTTTAAAAAGTAGAATTGTATATCTAGATTTTTTAAAAAGTAGAATTGTAGATATTTATGTGTGGAAAAGTTAATGACTATATAAGGTGCGAGAGTTTAATTTTAATCTACAATTGCCTCAAGTCCTCAAACACCCAAATAAGATGTAATATATCAAATTGTGTATCTCTCTCCAGGTTTTGTATCTCTCATATATAAAATATAACTAAGGAAATTGTAATATTCTTGACTACTGTATTTGGAAATTATGGTTATAGGGTAATCCAACAACATACTATGATAATAAATTAAATAACATACTTTTTTATTACAATTATTCTTTCTGTTTTAAAATAGTTAATTAATAGTTGATTAATTAGAAATTATTTTAAAAGGAAGGTCACACTCATACTAATATGAGAAATAAATTAGTGATTGGAAAGAAGATGAAGAAAAAAAGTATAGTTATTATCAAAGTATTCTAGAACTAATTTATGTAATTATCAATAGTGGGAATTTAGAGATCATGACAATTGGTGGGGATAGACCTTCATAGACACCCCTGCATCGGTAAGAGAGATTGGTATTGTTAGGTGGGTGAGCTGTTGGGCCCACCAGCGACCAATTTGTTTAAATGCACCGTGCCCGATACGCAACAAGAGCTCCCTGAAACACAATCTTCAAATTACTAAATCACCCTTTTCTCAACATGTAATTTGAGTGTATAGGAGAATGTGAACGAAGGGTGATCCAGTAATTTCAGTATTAATAAACAGGACCCACCATGCATAGCGAAACAAGAAGGTTCCCACTTCACACGGTGGTTCTTTTCACCATCTTTCTACATGGATGGATCTAATCTAGCAGATGGGTTGGTAAGTTACAAGTTGACCTTGACCACCGTGCGCACCAAGTATTGTTCAGCTCCAAATCTTTGACTCCTTCAAAGCTTGATTAGTTACGTAATTAATCACCAAGCCATCTATATAAATTGACATATTAACATGAGGGTGAGTTTTATGGTACATGTGCGGTCACCAAAATGGAAAGTTCTATTGTTTCTTATTCGGTAAGTAATTAGAGTTCTGTCTTTTTTACTAGACCTGTTGGTACATATATGATATATATTCTTCTGTCTCATAATAAATGTCTATTTTTTTTTTTTTTTTTTTTCCGAATGTTCCAAAATACATATTCCTTTTAAAAAATAGATGTACTTTTTTTCATTATATTCCCAAACTATTTTTTTTTCATTTACTTGTTTTAGTTGTTTAACACCTTATCAGGTTAAAAATGAATTTTCACTCATTATTAAGTATATTATTATAAAAAGTTAGAATCCTAATACATTTCAAATATTTTGGAACGGAAGAAGTATTATATATATATATATATATATATATATATATATATGAAATGGCGTAGGTGTTACTGGTCCACTTCTTGTCTTTGGTTGATGAGTGTTTTTTTTACCTCTTTGGTTGAGGAGTTGGCTCGTGGGATTAGTGGTGGAGAGAAGGGAGGACTAGGGTGGGTGATACTCCCTAAGTATAAATTAATTTGTATATGTAATTATGTATATATTACAGGTGAATTAAAAACACACTATATCCTTGTATTTTAAATTAATTCCGGTCTAGGGTGGGTGATACTCTACATGTGTATAAATTAATTTGTATATGTAATTATGTATATATTACGGGTGAATTATAAACACACTATATCCAAATTTTCAAATACTTGAGATTTACTACATCAATTTTATTTTATATTATATAAACCATCTACATATTTTAACCATCACTTCGATCATGCCTCTCCCAGCAAGGTTTTTTTTTATTTTTTATTTTATTCCTTGACAAAAAAACTCAACACACATTTATCACTATAGATGAGAATTTGATCCAATAGTGATTTGAAAAGCTCAAGCCAGTATGCTCAAGCTACCAAAATAATTAACATGAAATAAAGTAATTAAATATAATTTTAAAATATTAAATATTAAAAGAGACATGATATATAATAGAATAGAGAGAAAGAATCCATGTAACTAACACCATTAATTTTTTTTAAAAAAATAATAATAAATAAATAAATAAATTGATCGATGATAGAATATCAATAAACCCACAACTTATCACAATTTCAATTTTCATTTAATTACCCAAAAAGAATCGCTACATCCTTTTCTTTTACATTTGGGGCTATATATCTCTAGGAAAATAAATGCCTAAAAAAAATGAAAAAAATACGTTCAGGAACTGCTATATATACCATACAATTTTCAATATACAAAACCAAATTCCTGTAAAATATACAAAACAAACTAAATGCGAATAAACAAATGAATCTGACCACCTTATTTTGTTTTTGTCAAGGAAGCATGCTACTTAGCATAGTAAGGACTCGAGGAACATGTCATCCCTAGGCTCTTCCTTGGCTCTAGAAAACACATTGTCTTCGTGTTGTGGCTGAGTCATGTAAGAGGCCATGGAGTTCCCAAACCCTGAGAATCCGAAACTCCCGGGGCTCTGCAACATCTCCAGTGTGTAGGGTGCTTGCCCTTCGGATGCTGCATGCCTTGCACCGCGAATTGGGTTGATGGCGGAGTTGTTAGGGTTATGGGTAGACACAGCCGAAGGCCTTATGGCAATGGCAGCATTGTTGTTGCTGGTGTTGGGGAAAGGCCTATTGATGGCGTGGTTGCCACTACCGCGTGCAGCAGGCACATCATGGTTGTGCTTCCCCTCGTAGGTTGTTATCACCGCCCTTAGATCATGCGATGCTCGCTCTACGTGCTTTCTCACCGGACATCCAGGACTTGTGCACTTGTAGTAGCTCCTGTAAGTAGTAAATAGATCACAGGGTTAGACAAGTTCCAAACATTGCTTACTTAAAAGACATATCGAGAGCTTATAATGCAATTGGAGCACACAACAAAGAGACTCATTGCAAACTTTCTTGATCAGAGAAAGAATTGCAAGCTAAATGTAATTTTAGCCCCATTGCATATATTGATATGTAGAGTTTTATGTTATGTACAGCTTTTGGTGACTCAACTAGTGAAAAAAACAAGGCCACACTACACAAACTCGGTCATTCTCTTAAGTGGATTCAAACATCTTAACCCAAATTGATTCAAACAATGAAACAACAAATATCTCTAAAACAATCCCAAAAACTTACCAAAAAAAAATGTTGTTCAATCTCACGATTTTACTGAAAAAGGGTAACCTAAAACATGTGGCCCACACCATTCATAAGGACAGGGAGGATGAGGATGAGGATGACCTAAAACATTGGGTTAAAACAATGCACCAATTATTTGGACTGAAGCACACCCATTAAAGTAACCTTTTAGGACAGACAAATGGACAGCACATATGAAAACTAGATTAATCATGTCTCAACCTTTTTTTAAGGAGATCAAGGAACTAGATATTGAATAATACGGATCTTCCAGTGAAAGTTAAGACATAGTGGAAACCGAAAAAAAAAAAATGTTTTGGTAAGATGCTATAACTCCCAAAGTTCACCTTTCCAAATTAAAAAAATTGGTTGTTATATCAAAGTAAGCTTTTTACCTTGGATTTGGATTACCCTTAACCACCTTCTGCCCATATTTTCTCCATCTATACCCATCATCAAGAATATCAATATCACTTGTTGTCTGAACTACAACCCTAGGTTCTCTAACTGTTCTACTCCCAGCTGCTGATATACCTTCATTTTCACTTTCTCTTTTCCTGCAAGAATTAGATAAAAATGAATCAGATCCTTTAAAATCCCCACTAATCAAAAAAGCCCATTACATAATAACAATCATTTATACGATTTTTTTTTTTTAAAAAAAAAATTTAAATTAAATTTACCATCTTTTGGAATCAGGTTCATCTTCATCAAAATCATCTCCACCAGATTTACTCTTCTGAGAACTGTGCTCAAAATCATCATCCCCGATCGAGATGGAGGAATTATCCGGTGTCAAAACGGAGTCGATTTGGCCTGTGCCATGTGAGGCATATGACTGATCTGGGATTTCATTGGCGGGACGATTGCAAGCTTGAATTGCTTGAGAAGAAGCTGATGATGATCTCCTAGTAGACTGAGGCTTGGGATGGTTGTGACTACCCTTGTAAACAATCTCAGTAATCTGCCCATCTAAAGATCTCTCAACTTTCTTCTTAGTTGGACAATTGGGGTATGTGCACTTATAATAACTTCGCGGATTTTCGCTCCCTTTCACTTGTTTCTGCCCATATTTCCTCCAATTGTACCCATCATCTGAATTTCTCTGCTCTCTTATCGATGATGATTGATTGTAATTATTATGATCCGATTGGAAGTTGCCGTTGCTTTGAGGGTTAGTTTGAATTGTTGCAATCTCAGGGGAGAAGCTCTGCATCGAATTGAATTCGGATTTCACCAAACTTTTTCCACCATCTTGCTTCACGGGTTCTTGTACATTCCATGCTTGTTCTTCCTGAAAATATTGTTCATATTCAGATAGCGTCAAAGCAGATTAAAGATTGAAAAACCCAAATAAAAAAATAAAATAAAATAAAATAAAAACTAACTTTGAGGTCTTACAGTTGGAATTGTGTTGTTCTGAGACTGAAAGATTGTTGTGGATGATGTGGGAGGCCTTGTTTGGGGTTGGAAAGAGAAATCAGAATAGTTCTCTTCTTGCTTCAGACTCTGGTGGTGGTTGTTAGAATTGCTCTTCCAATTGAAGGACTGAAAAGGGAATGCCCCTGTAGTCGGAGATGGTAGAATCTGCATATATAAAAAACGAATATAGTAATTAATACCTTAAATTCACTAAATCACACATGACAAAATCCAATCCAATCCAACAAACAAGGACAAAAGAACCCAACAATCAAACAAAAACAGAGGAAAAGAAAATATTAGTATTACTTTCCCTTTCCTCTGATTGATTGATGAAAAACACAGGAAAAGAAAAAGGTAAAAGATATACGTAATATGAACCCAACTATGGTTAGTTTAAGACAATTAATTCGATCTTTCCTTTACGTTTTTTTCAGAAAAATGGAAAAGAAATAATAAGCGAGATACATACGGAAGAAGATGAGAGAAGAACAGGGGAGTCCAAGAGCTCAGCTGGGCTTAAACCAAGTGGGATGGCAAAGTAGGAGGAAGGTGATACAGCTGGTGGAGAAATGGGCAGTGAAGGTGGCGGAATTGACTTGAATTTGGGTATGCCGGAACCCGTTCGCTCGGCGATACGATCTGAAAGTCCACGGCTGACGGCGGCGGTGGTGGTGGTGGGGTAGTTGTCGGTGGAGGCAAGGAGGTCAGAGAAAGAGGTGTTGACCGTGTTGGTATTCATGAATGGAGTTGAGAAAGAGAAGGTGGATGATGTAGTTGTTGCTAGTGGGTATGAGTTTGCCGAAGTCTCCAAACTCCCTGAAGAAGAACCCATGAGAGAGTAGAGAGAGAGAGAAAGAGAGAGATATGAGGGGGATGGTGAGAAGAAAGAAGAGAAGATGTACACGTAGAGTATAGCACAAATTTCTCTCTTGTTTGGCTGATTAGAGGTATCTTCTGAGAAGGTGAAGAGGTGTGTTGACTGTGGAAATGTGAAGTGAAATGAAATGGGGGGTTTTGGGGGTCAAAGCTCGTGCGTTTTGACTGAATGGCTGGATGGGCTGGCTAGGCGGCTGCGGCTGCTGAGATATTTGATGGGCCCAGATCCGGGTTTCATCCCATTTAAATCTTGTTAACGATGCACGCCACTTGTTATCTCTACTGGGTCCCACATCGGAGGACGGATTTGAGTGTTTTAAATGAAATTGAATTGACACTTTATAAAAAATAATTGTTCTAGAAAGGGTAGTGCCTTCCCTTATTCTACTTATAGATTGGTAACGTGGGGTTTAATTTCCTTGTGATAGTGTGTGATATCACAAGCGTTCCTTTTATTTTTTTATCATGTCAAATTAGGAAAAGAAATTTGAGCACTCTAAATTTTTAATGTAGAATTGTTATATAAAAAGGTTTAAAGTATGAAGTTTATAGCTAAAAATAAATAATAAGACATGGAATAAATCAAGTTTGATTAGAGGTTCAGTATAATCTAAGACTCATTCTATTAAATTAAGGTTATTTATATTCCTCTCAAGCAAATTATCTATCTTTTTATTTTTGGTTATTCCAAAATAAATGTCACATTTGAAAAAATAAAATACTAGTATTATTATTATTATTTTTTAACATTATCAATTTAATCTTATTATATTGAACTTATAAAAAATAAAACATCACATCTATGTGGATCATTATAAATAGAATTGGTAATTCATTCATTATTCATACAATAAAAAAATATTAAAATTAGATTTTCAAATATATATATATATATATATATATATATGTATAATGAGAAATGTTTCAAAACATGCACAGTTTGATTGAGTGATTATGATGTACTAATTCTTAATTATTTGAAATCACGGTAAACCATGGATGTTACTTTCACCAGGATTTGGAACTTCGTATCTCAAAATAGATTTTCCATTAATTTATAGTTATGGGCTTCAATTTATATTAACTTCATTTCAGGCTATAACATAGATTCAAAAAGTGTGCTCAAACTTTTTATTTAGATTGATAACCTCTTATCTCTCTTCTCATAATCTCATGCGTGCTACATTACTCAGTTAAGACATTATACATTAATTGGGAAAACATTTTTTTTTATAAGATAACCTTATATTTTTTAGTCTATGGTATGTAAATTGATATAACCTTATCTATAAAGCATCAATCGTACAATTAATATGCAAGATATAAATAGGTATGGACCCTAACTGCAAATAATAATAATAATAAAATCAAATCCATCATTCCTCAGGTAGTAAAATGTATGTCTCGCGCGGGGTGTTTAGTCATTTTAAAAATTGAGGCACTCCGAGTTCAGACATGCTGCTCTAAACACAGGCCAAACAACATCTATAACCCCAGCCCGTGAGTTTCAATTGCGACCAAAATTATGTAGCTAGGGTTAAGAAAGAAAAGGGCATTTTAGTACTTTCGACCCGGGCAATCTAGAAGATCCACCGGCTAAAGACGTGGATGTGTAAAAGTGGGTCATTGCGTCTCAAACATGACAAGTTGCGGAAGTCTAGATATTTTTTTGCTTGTAATAATTCTGTTGTACACGTGTGCAATAACGCAATATAATTAATCAATGACCGAAATTACAAAATTGTACTTTAATCATGTTGTCTTAGTTGTAATTTCTCAAATTACAAATTTTTTTTTTTTGCCAATCAAATTACAAAATAGTAGAAGCTACTTTAAGTTTTCAAAGAGCTGTAGGTTAGGAAATTCAAATTCAATAAATTTCATTTCTAAAGAAGAAAAAATACAAGGATATTAGTGAAGGTTCATATCTTTAAAAGGGACAAGGTGAGTATATAAGTGGTTTGTGTTTATTGTTAATGACAAAAAAAAAAATCAATTATAAAATCATTAAAGATAATTATATTTTGCAATCGTGATGCCATGTAATATGGCGGATATGGTTTCACATAATCATTGTTGCAAAGATACACTTGTGCCCGCTAATTGTGCCTCACATGACTTTTTTTGTACTTATAATAAATTTACTTTGAACTCAGATTCTGAATTATAAAATAAATATTAAGTGTTGAATATTTTCAAAGTTCAAATATTTTGAGTTGAGTTTTTTTTTTTTTTTTCTTTTGTCTATTTTATCATCATTTACTGATGCATTTAATTAAGAATCATGGTCAACTCTTGAACTGGCAAGGGAAATCAATCTTTCAATAGAGTAATACTGTAACTTCTGAAGCCCAAATGTAAATTGCATAGGAAAATTATATTTGTTGCCCAATCTCAACATTCACCGTCCTTTGCAGGTCCATCACACGATGGAGAAAATTTTATTGTGCCTATTGTACAGTGCAACAAGCGCCTACCACATCCAATAGCAGTGCCCCAGCCAAATAAAAACAATAATTTCAATCGGTATGCTTAAATATCTAGAAGATCCATTATTTTCCCATTAAAAATGCAAGTTTTTTAATGGGTTGAGTTAAGCCTGATGCCATCTCCGGCTCCACATAAATTTTTTTTAAAAAAAATCCAATGTTTTCGGCCCTAACTTGGGTTAGTTCCCCTGCAGCCAAACAGGGCTACAAGCCTACAACAGGGGGACATAGAGCCATACCCAATTGGTTGGATAATCCAATCCAACCAAACGGCCCTTCCATTTAACACTTTGACTCTCTCCCATACAAACACCACACATACACCGACATACACACTTCAAATTTAGTCTACTAGAATAAAGAATGAATGCACCATCTGTAACCTAATCTTATCCAGAAGATGTGAGGCCCGGTGAGGGTTCAAGTCCAAAGTAGGTGTGTTATTTGCTAGGAATATATATAGACAAATATATATATATATACACAGCAACAATATCCATGCTCAACATATCACTATTAGCGTCTCCAAAATCCAATGCAGTTTCTGCAACCAGCACTCTCCAAGATCTATATGATTAGAGTAAGATCTTCAAATAGTAAAGTTGCTCAACCTAGGAAAACAAAATGAAGCACTTGCTGCGAAAATGAATTGGTTACTTCTTGGCATATGTGATGCCCATTGGGTGCTGAGGAGTGATTTTGAAGCCCCGAAGAGCCTGCATGGCAACCGAGGACTGCACATCGTCCTCGAATTCCACAAAGGCAATGCCTGGCTTTGCTTCGATCATTCGAACTTCCTTGAAACCGGGATATTGATTGAACAGCACTTGCAGCATCGTACTAGTCGTCTCATATGGTAAATTCTGTACAAAAAGTATATTATTTGGAGCTGCATCTGCTTCTTCTGTACTCGGCTTTCCTTGGCGGAAGGAAGCCTGCATGAACACATGCCAACAGTTCATTACAAGTTAGATTGGTCAAAAAGCACATGGGGAAACATTTTCAAATTCTTAAACAAATGTATACACTGGGAGAATAAAGACAAATATCAAATGTCATACATGGACAAGCTCACATTGCACTCCACGATCCACCTAACTCATCCTTGATGTTTATAGGTCAACAAACCCAAAAGCATGCAAACAATTTATCTTTCATTAGACCTATTTCATGCTATATTAGAATTTATCATGCAGATACCATCTACAGAAAGTCTGTAATTTCAATTATTAAAAGTCTATTAAGTATAATCTATTGTTGGTCACACCAATGTAGGGTGTTAAAAGGGGTAGACACGGTACAAATTTAACCTCTGATGTTATTTACAAGAATTAGCTGCTGTCAGACTTGTATCCTTTTAACTGCCCTCCAACTCAAACCCCCATTGGGGAGAGGGAGAGCCTAACACTAAAATAAATTTAAATTGAGAGAATAGAACTCAAATAACACTATAAATCAAGAGACTTACAGCTGAGCCTCCATTACTGTCAGCTCTTGTACGATTAGCAGTGGCAAATTGCTGCGCTTCTTCAGCCCGTCCTTTTCTTTCTACTGAACATGGAGATATAGGTTAAAAACAAAAAATCGCAACACAAAAGATTCTCAACTCATTAGCAAGCTTAACAAAACAAACACAATAATACCTAGGCATCAAACCAAACTAGAAGATAAAACGGAACACCATGTAAAGTATAAACCACTTCATCAGTGATCCCATGATACTATGTTGATTTTTCTTGGCACATCTATTTCTTTCAGTTGGAAATGCAGATATAGGTCAAAGATGAAATGGCACCAGCATACAAGAATGGTCAAATTATTAGAATAGCTTAACAAGTAGAACACAGCAAAACCAGGATACCAAACACAGTAAAACCAAGACATTAAACCAAAGAACACTAGGGGAAAAAATGGAAATACCATGTGAAGTGTAAACCACTTCAACAGTGATCTGATACCAGGTCGATTTTTCTTTGGCACATCTCTTCTTTTAATTCAAAGTGTCGATATATGTCCAAAAAAAAAAAAAATTGCACCACATACAAGAATATTATCATAGCTTAACAAGTCGCACACAGTAAAACCAAGATATCAAACTGGAAAGATAATGGTACTTCAATAAAAAGAATGGATACACCACGTAAAGCGTAAACCACTTCCATTAATGATATGATGTTAGGTTTTATATAAATTAGTGTTGGATATATGAGATGTCTTTGCAATTTCCTACTCCAAAATTTGGTTTTAGTGTGTCAATATGTCTTCTATGATAGTCAATTTCATATTTGTTCATGATAGTCAATTTTTTTTTTTTTTTTTTTTAGATCAGGCCACTCAAAAGAAACGTAACTTCCATTTACACAATTTAGCAATTGTTATCAGTTGTGTGTGTGTGTGTGTGTCTGTGTGCACGCGACACATTATAAACAAAGGGGAAAAAGAGAGAGGGAAAAAATGGTAGGATCAAAACTGCAGAAATGATTTCCATTTACCTTTTTCCTCTTGCTTCCTTTTCTTATCTCTTGGGACATGGGTGCCATCAGCTTTAGCAATAGAATCTGACTTCATTTTTGCATATTGTATCCGCTGCACCGAATCAAACACTCTGTCATATCATAAATATTGATTGGCTATATGAGCATATGGCATATAAAATTTTTTCTAGAAAATATTAAGTTACTGAACAAACACACAATGCAAATATAAAGTAAAACACTATAAGCAGGTGCAGCTTCTATTCAGGCTGTGAATGAGCCATTTCGAGCTTAACAGTGAGTTGCTCAAACACAGCTCTTAAAATTAACAAAAACACAGTCAAGCCTGACTACTTTATCTCTTGGGCTGATATTTAGCGAGCCTCTAACCAAGCTGATCCTGATATGAATTCGAGTAACTTGAAATTTTATATAATCTTAGGTTCATTAACTTATCAAGCTGAGTTCCTATTGAGCTTAATAAACTAATGAACTTTGACTAGTTATCTAACTCAGCTCGTTTACCAGAGTGATGGTCTCACTGAGCCGATCACAAGCGAGGTTTGAATGGTTTTACAACCCCAATTTCTGTATTCCTGAAAACCAAAATATATTACTAAGCCATTACTTATTCATAAGGTCATTCTAGTGCATGAGGCAGTGTATTATGAATCAAATGATTGCGGGAAGTAAGGAGCTATCTAATCCCCCTTGGCCTGCCCTTTCCTCTATTTTCAAAATTAACCCCATAGCTAGGGAGCTATTTGTATCTATTGTGGAAAAACAGAGGGATGGTGATAAGTGGAGATAATTGGAAGGAAAAAGGAGTTAAAAAAAAATAGGAAGAACTTTAATGAAAGAGATACAATGAGGTATAGAGCAAAAACTTTTTTTTTTTTTTCTTAGTTGGTACTCACACACACATGCCTCCATTGAGGCTTGAACTCCTAACCTCCCTTTGGGAGTTAAGGGCCTGATACCGCTAGACCACTGACCCGTTGGTGTATAGAGCAAAAACTTCACATGTGCCATTTCTCTAGTAAACCTACTCTACCAAATTTATACTACACACAACAGGACTGAACATTATCCCGGCAGAAGATTTCTAAAACATAAAAAACATCCCATATTCAAGGCAATTGAAAGACAGGATCAAGTACAAAAATTTCAGTCAATGAAAAATAATTTTACTTTCATCAGTGTTTTCAGCAAAGACGAGATCTTTTTTTCAAATTTATAACAATGATTAAATCCATTCAAGTTCCAATTTTCTCTTCGTAAGTTAATCATAAAAGCAACAGCAATAAAGCAAAACAGTAAAAGGGAGATACTAAGGCCAAGCTACAATTTAACTTAGTTTCCAAAAGTTTGAAGTTCAAATACATGTGCACACACTACATGAGTGAATGGACAAGATATATGAAGAAGTACTAGGTTATTTATTCAAACTTACCATAGGCTTATCATAAAATGGAAAATTCTGCATTTGTCGCACTGCATTACTGGCAGCTGTTACTTCACTAAACACAACCCATGCCTGTCCTCGAAGCTTGGCCGTCTTCAAGGTAACAAGGTCCAAAATCCTTCCATACTGCGAGAACAAGGCATAAAGAGATCTCTTCAACTCTGACAGAGAAATACAATAAAATAAAAAGTTGAATATTGCATTAATTCCATATTCCTGGAGGCACAAAAGACGGTATAGAAATGAAAATTTTAAGATGACATGTTAACTGTGATGTTGTGGACCAAATTTGGTGCCAGGTCGCAATGCGACCCATTGGATGAGCTTTGTGTGGACCCTAATTAGTACCCTCTTGTAGCTCGTTATATAATGGTGCGTAGGGTTTGGAGTGGGATCAGAGAGAGTCAGGGGCTAAAAGTTGTAATCTTCGATTTTACACATAGTGAAGACATTCGCCGGATCTCCACCATGGATGTAAGGTTTGCCGAAACACGTATAAATCTTTGTGTTCTTTGTGTGGTGTGTTTATTTTTCTGTCGTGTTTCGTAATTGCTGTTTGGTTCATTGCGTTTGTCGCAACACTAACCACCATCAATAGATCTCAACATCATCACAACTTTCAAAAATGGGATCATAAACAACATAAATAAATATTTGCATGATGCTTGCGGGCTTCCCTTTGGAGCACATAAAAATCGAAGCACATTGAGTATCTTGCATGATAAAAGTTATGCCAAGTAGGGACGGGCAGACATGTTATAAATAATTACTCAAAAAAACTATTACATATACTGATTAATTAGCTCATGTAAATACTAGTGCAAGGTAGCGATCGGTATTTTAATGAAATGAAAGCATTAAAAGTAAGAACAACACGAAACCGAGCAATTTTGCGATTCTCTTGTTTGCGTTCAACAATCTCTACATCGGAAGAGAGAAATTATAGAATTTCATTGGGTAATTTAATTTAATCAGTTTTCTCAGGTTAGGAATAATGGAAAATTAAAAATTCAACGTCATATTTTTCTTTTCCTACAGTCTTGTCTCTACGCAACCAAACTGGAGAAATTGAAAACATTCCTCATCTTTCTCTATCAAATTACTGAATCTTTAAACGGCGAGTAAAAAATATAAAATCCAAATCTAATTCTACAAAACGACAAGACGCATTGAAGAAGACGAAATTCACCTTCTTTCTTGACCTTCTCGTCAATGTTCTTTATGTATATAGTTTGATTAGGCGGTGTATCCCCATAGAGCATCATCACTCAGCACCTCTGGTTCAGTCTGTTAGCTAACCTAGAGAGAGAGTTTATTCGGACCTGTCTAAGATTCTAAAAGCCCTGGTACAAAGCTATGTTCCGATTTTAATTGGTAGCTGTAAGTAGTCCACGGCTATATATAACTGTGGGCCTTGTGGCCCACAAATAAAAATGTCCGTTGCTCCACCGGGCCCAAGTGGCCCTTCTAAGGTTTAATGGTCAACTAAAGAGAGAGAACTGAAGTTCAAAGGGACATCCTTAGATTCAATTTTAAACTGGTCTTTTCAATCCAAAATCAATTTCTTTAATAACTAGACAAATGATTAATAACTAGGCAAATGAGTCAATGACAAATGGTGCTAGTTCGATCTTCTTTTTTTTATTTCTTATTATATTATTTTTTTTTATCCCAGTCAGAAAGTGAGCACGCATATTTGTAGACATTCATGAAATGAAAAAGTATAAGGACTTGGTTAAATTCTGTGTCAGTTGACACAGATTTTTTTAAATTAATTATTTACATTACAGTTAAAAATACAGAATTTTCCAACTGTTACATAATTTTTTTTTAAAAATAGAAAATTATTTTCAGAATGGTTTCTGATCTGTTATCTGTCAACTTTTGAAGAATCTAGTTTTAAAAACCCCTACGTAAGCATATTGTAGGCTCAGGAGACAGCCTGATGAGCCCATTTTATCGACCATATGGCTAGTGCCATAAATATTTGAATTCCCCCTATGCAAAAGCAGCAGCAAAACTTGATCCCGAAGAAATAGACAACAGCACATACTCAAACATACATAAAACGCTAAACACACACACCCATACACGTGCGTGTGTTTATTTTTATAATGCTCCAAATGATATTCTTAGTTAGAAAACCACAAATTACTTGGGCCAAAAAAACCTTAAATCTCATGAGAATGGGTAATAAACAACACATTCAAAGTATAACATTGAACAGTGTACAAGGAAACATGTGTATATATATATATATAAATATATATATTAACTGTGTAGAATATGTGGACATGATCCTAATACACGTCACACTGAAGAGTTATTGAATCACAAAATCTACCATAGCATTACATAACAAAATACTGACCAAACAAATCCGGGCTTCGATAATTATGGTTTTTAATAATTCGTCTACTCCTGGGTGTAAATCAACTATTAATACAAATAGATAAATGTACAACAACTGTACATGTACTCTGCTAAACTTCAATAACAAGGGGCAGTCCCCTCTGGATTCTGAAACTACCAGCAGCTCACCAACACCCATTTGGACAACGCAAAAATCACAATCTTTTTTGGGAAATCAACTCTACAACATCGCCTGGTTTGGACTGCATAACACAAGAAAGCAAAGTCCAACTATTAAATACAATAAATACTAAGAAATCCACCCAAGAAACAAAAAAACAAAGAAAAATAAAAGATTATTACCAATGGACCTAACCTTTGGAAATTAAACCATACAGAACCTATTTGAAGAAACGGGTCCAGAAAACAACAATGATTTGTTGCATAGGCCTAAACATAACTCCCTCTAAGGGTCATCAAAGGCTCAAGAACTAGAGCAGTCCCCCTCAATTGAGGGTCTTTGGAGGAATAAACAGGATAATCTTTAACATTACTTGCACAAAGTAGCGGCTCTCAAAATCGGAACCTACATTCTCACATTTGATAGTTCAAGCTTCTACCAATGCACCAACCAATGGCCTCTTGTATTGTCCCTTACCATTACAAATTTTTTATTTTCAAGAGATCAAAACAACAAACCACATGCATCAGAATGCAGCCTGTTAAGATAACAAATGCCTATTGAGTACAAGTCTGCAGGACTTATCTTAATCTCCTACAACCAAGCACAAAAAATTATTTACAGCCCACGGGAGATCTCAGTAGGTCACGATTTCTAACTAAATTGCGGAAAGAGATTTTCTGTAGTAGTCTAAAACAGCTGGGGAAAGGAACAATGAATGTAAGCTAGTGGGCTATAGTCTGTGTTAATCGGGCTCTTTCGCGAGACAATTCGCCCATCGTACCGTCTTGAAGCGCTAAGATGATGCGGCAGATTTCAGATCAATTTGTGTGTTTTCACATCAATAGTCAAAATCAATTGTAATCCAGAAGTTCTAAATCTCCTCAATATATAAATTTAAAGGTTCTGACAAGTAAAAAATCAATACAATAGAAACTTCAGTAAATTCATATATTGAGGAGATTTAGAACTTCTGGATTACAACTGATTTTGACCATTGATATGAAAACACACAAATTGATCTGAAATCGCTAAAATTTCCCAAGAGTGAAGGTAATAATAATAAGCAAATGCTGAAATGGAGCTATGCAAGTCATGTGATTTTGAAGCTTACTTGAATCACATTAGACAGATATGAAACATAACACAGAAGAAGAATTTACCATTTCAATATGCGAAACATAGAATGGTGCAGACTCACCATCTGACAGACTTCAAGCACTACATGGAAACTTCATTGTCAACCATTGAACTAAATATTAAATCAATAAGTAGTCGACCCATCAAAATAATCGACTCTTTAAGAGAGAGAGAGAACCTCATTTCCCTGCTTCAATTTATGCTCCAGCTCTTTCAACTAGTTCAACCTTTGCTTGCTTTTGTATAGAGGTGTCGAGTGTCAAGTTACAGTGTCAAACAATCAAAATCAACAAAGTCCAGTATTCAAGACTTAGTCACCATTCCCCATAATCTAATGAGTTTCATGGCTTGGAATTTTAAAATCAAAATGGAGATTGGCACAATGGGCAAGTTGATTTGTGAGAGGTTGAGAACCATTTGTAGAGGCAGGCTGAATGGAACTTGTGCTTACAGGTCTTGCAAGCAAGGCGCGGTAGGCTGTGGTTGGCAGTGTGGATCACACTGTAACAAATGGGGCACTCCTCAACACCTTCAAATTCCTTGTCAAAATTGCTCTTCCATATTCGTATCGCTTCAGCTAAAGCTCCATTCTGCATCAACCAACCAAAAAAGGTTAATCTGCCTATAGACTTCATACTAAAATGGTTCAAAGTCTACCTAAGCCCATGAATAACCTGTTTAACTGAGAATAGAACTGCATAAGCTCTAAAATGTAATATACTGCTATTATGAATCAAATTCTTGTAATTCATGGCAAACCAACTACCCAAATGAACTACAATTAGCACCAAAAATAAATGTAATACTTTGCAGGGAAAGATACTACAAAATGATGTGCATAACATTTATCAAATGACAAACTGCTTTATGTTAGCAAACTGGGGAGCACACACAGTGAGCAACAATGCTTTTCTGTGACCCAAACTATCCAATTACCATGTACATTGCTCGATTTCCATTTACATCACTTTGATGAAATAATGTCTTATAAATTACTGCAGAAAGAAAAAACACACGGAAGTACCTGATTACGAACAAATAACAGCATAGACATTAACCATTTTCTCTGCTTCACTTCACTAATACCAAGGCTCCTTGTACAGTCAACGTCTACAGCCCGCAGTGGGTAAGATGCAGGAAGACGAATTACTAAATCCATTCCAGTTTCATCCTTTGTATAAGTAGCAACAATCTCATAGGCAGATTTACTCACACTGACTGAAAAATTCTCATCAGCAAAACTAGCTTTCTTAATCTGCATTGGTAGAATGTAGAAGTTGGAGCTTGCATAAAATAAAAGTTTTGTACCTAGAAACCAAAAGATCCAAGTCAACCTATACACACCTGAGATAGTTCATTTGAGATTAGAGGTGGGCTACACCATGTTTTTGTAAAAGACTCAATCGCAGATGATGTAGAACGGTCACGTATATTACTAAACCAGCCACGAACATATGCAGGAAGAATACAAAGCATCAAACCAAATATTGCACCAGCAAGTGAAACCATTTTCTCAGGTCCAACAGGCCAAAGTGATTCCACAGAGAACAACGCTGAACTGGTAGTGATGGCATGTGTTGCTGCAGTGGCAGCGTCCAATAAATCAGCAGGGAGTTGTACATCTTTCTTCTTTAGGCTATGTGTCAAGCTCAACAACTCCAATGGAACATGCTGGAAAAGGCAATCCAGTATTGTTGAATTAGAAGATTCTTGTATATATTGAACCAATCTCTCCCTTGCTGACGACGACGATGATAAGGATAGAAGATGTGATAACAACAAAGACCAGGCAAGAAAGATATTCACCTGCACAATAAAATCAATATACGACAACAATCGTCACTTTCAGTGAGAAAAAAAAAATTACGCTTAATAGGAATACAAAGAAAATAGGAGCTATCGCTTGGTGAAATGATTAAAGCTCGAGCTGAAAAAGCTAAGGATGTGGATTCGAGTTAGAGAGCCACTTTGTGTAAAAATAATAACAAACGATGGGTCTACTCTAGTCTTCCCCTCCTAGCACCCTGTGTAGGTGGGACAAAACGAAGCAGATAACAAAAAGTTTGCTAGTGATTGAAGCATACTCACACGTTGTGGTGCTACCAACTCCATGTCAAGAATCTCATATGGTAATTTTTCAAGCATGCAAGAAATTTCCTCCCTCAAATGAACCTCTTGTTCTGAAGATAAATCGAGACGAGACGAATCCTGGTCATCAGTGGTAACCCCATCCAAGAGACATGAAGTGTCTTCTCTAACAATAGCCAAGTGAGAAACAGGTTCGGTTGAGAGAATAACATAGGCAGCAAACTGCAAAGAAGGAACCGGTTTGGAAGAAAAAAGGATTGCATACAAAGAGCTTATGGGCCCTTTGCTTAGCCCCCACATTTGAACTGATTTAAAAGCTTTATCTCTAGCAAGTGTTGAGGATTTGACAACACTTGAAGCGACTAACTCCCAAAAGTGAGGATGATCAAGCCGGGTAGATGCTATAACAGATGAAGCCTCATAACAACATGAACTCGCAATAGCCTCAGCAGCACCAGTGGAAAAGAACAAGCGAAGAATACCTTCTAGACTCCGATCTATAAAAACACCCCATCTCTCACTTCTTAACAGGTTCAAATCATCTGCAACTTCTTCCTTGTGAAGTTCAACAAGCCCAAGAAACAGAGAAAATGCAGCAAGGGCATTCCTAGCAATCTTTATAGGAGAAGGTTTTAAAGCAGAAGCAGTATGCTCAATCATTTTCAGTGTAACTTCCATGTTAGAAGAATTAGCACTGTCTGTTATAGCACCATTCACATCTTCAGCTACTTCCTCCATCAATAAAACTGCACTTTCAATCCACCATCTTAAACGATACAGTACAAATTCCCAGTCTTCCTCATTAAATTCTTTCCAACAATACCCAACTGAAACTACCATTAACTTTGACAACAACATCTGCACCATTGGCAGCTTGTTAGCTGTAGCTGATCCACCAGCTCCATGTCTCTGCTTTTGAAATAATTCAAGTAAAAGTGCTCTCTCCTCATGGCTGATACCTCTCTCAGGCTTTAATCTTTGTGTTCCTCCTATTGCACTTAAGGGATAACAAGATATGACTAGCTGAAACCAATCTTCCATTTCTGCAAGGAAAAAAACTGTTTGTAACAACACTACTAAATCAGGGGGGAAATAGAGGGAAAAGCAAATTGAAGACTGATGCCTTTTTTTCTGTTAAAGGTAGGAAATGAACAAGGAAGTGGACCATGCCTCTTGATGCTCCCAACTAAGGACATACCCAAGCCCAAAAGAATATGATTGGAACACTGAAAACATACAGCATCCATTTCTACAACGTAAATCAATAAAATATAGATGGATGGACTGTTGTAATGCTTACTAGATCTTGGGTGGACTACAGCCCCTATGCATCAGGGCCTTGAGCAGTGGAATGCGAAATTTAACGCTATCTCAGTAACAAGGGTCTAGTAGAACATAGAAGAAAAATGCATTTACTGAACTGAAGAAAACATATTTGTTTACACCTCCGCCATGGGCTTAGCCCAAGTAGTATCAATTCCTCCCTTCCAAATGGAATGTTAAGGGTTCAAGTCCCCACTAAGACAATAATGGGTCTGTGTGTGACTTACCTAACAAAAAGAAAAAGAAAACAAAAAAAGAAAAAAGAAAAAAGATGAAAAAAGAAAAAGAAAAGAAAAGACAGCATTTTCATTTACCTTCTCCTGTTTGCCATGCAGTTAAAGGTGGGAACGATAGAGTTCTTTGGAGCCAGTCCTTGATAGCATCATGCATTTGATTTTCTTCATATGGATTAGGTTGAACAATTCCATCAGACTCATTAGATCCAATGCTCAATGGTCTAATAAGGACACTCATGATCAGAGGAAAAATCCTCAAACAATTGGAGTTTACTGCTGCACCAATGTAAAGTTTACTTCCAAGCAATTTAAAAAGCAACATAGCTTTGTCTTTATCCCATATTTTTTCTTCAAAAATAGTAAACAGTAACGATGCAAGAGCTCTCAAGAAGGGTTCTTCAATACTTTCCATTTGATCATACGAAGGAGGCCATACATTGGGAAAACTTAGTTCATCACTAGCTCCTTGGATAAGAGCACCGTCTAGCAAAACTTGGACAATAGAATCTAATAAGCTTCCTTTGGAAGAATAGTTTGCACTATTTGCATATGCACTCAGTAAAGGTAAGAAAGAGCTCAAAGCACTACCGCCATGCCACTTCCATGTGCATAATATTTCAGCTGCAAGCCAGGCTCGAGAATTATTAGCTTGAGCACTGATCAATTCATTCGTTGCTTCTGTAGTTGAAGATGGAAGAGTATGTGAAACAGAACCAGCAACAACCCTATCAATCCCGATTTTAGATATAAGCTTGTCAATCATAGCAACAAATCTGTGATTCATAGCCTGCACACAGTAAATGTTTGCAATTTATAAGTTAACCATATCTTGGATCAAGTAATACGAAAGTGTTCGGACATAGTTTTATATTTCCTTTCTTTGGTACATTGAACAGTACACTGCAAAAGGGAATGCATCTTTTGATTTTCAATCTATGTTCAAAATTGTCAATGCATCCTATGATTTATACTATGATACAATTTGCAATTTGAGAAATATGATATAATTTGATATATAGATCACAAATAACTAGGATGCACAAACAAGAAAATCTGTTCAATGTAGTTTGGCTAGAAGAAACTTAGATATGACATGGCAAGGAGCGATGACCTTGGAAACCCAGCTATGACTAACATGATGTCACATCCCATGTGCCCAAACATGGAGAGAGAGAGAGCAAGAGCAAGCTAGAGTGGGAGCAAAACATAAGAACATCCAATTTGAATATACTTTGGTCCAAAACCAGTCAATGCTTCTACACAATACTTGCAAAACATACATCCATCTACATATAAGCATATAAGATATATAGGAAACATATTAATTTTTCATGATGGAACACAAAATATAGTATGATATTATGATTGTAATTATTACTATTTCCGTATGTTAAAGTAATAAATAGAGAATAAATTTGCAAGTAAAAGATAATTTCTTGAATTTTACTCTCAAACTTAATCTCCTTTTATTATTAATTATGTTAATTTTTACTTTGGCAGGTCATGCTTTCAAGCTAGACCTTAATCTCATCAATGTACCTGTATCTACAGAACACAAACATGGGCAGGGTATATGCATTGGACATAAGAACCCAAATCTGAAACTCCAATCCTATAGGTGTGATGCTGCAAGGAAAAAAAAAAAAAAAAAGGGGGGGGCAGAGAATGGTTTCCTACTTTTGAAATTGACAGATTCAGTTTTTCCATCAAAATCACATTTAATTTAACTTCTGATGACCATATATCATACATTCTATAATTAATTGTACAATTAAGCAAACCGTGTGTGTAACCATGACTTAGCTTTTGGACACATTTTCCCGTATTCCAGAATTTAGGAAGGTCCAACATATGACATACCCGCACCCGATAAACATATACGTAAGTCCAGGTAATATAGCTTTCAAGTGGCCTTGGATGCAAACTTCAATAAGTTTTTTCACCTTCCAGTTCTAAGAGAAAAAGTTTGGCAGATTAATCTGGAATGAACAAATCTGGTGTCCTCTAGCCCACTATAAGCTAATCAATATCCCTTGAAAGGGCTTGTTAAGAGTTGAATTTTGGGTGCACCTAGGATCCCCACGCCTAGGAATAGTGATCCATGCTCCTGTGATTGCCGATTTGTGATTCAACAAAAATCTGCTCTCTCTTCACCAGTAAGTTTGATTCACTTTAGACAGTTTAGTTAACTTAGGTGACATCATTAGACTATTTAGCCTTATAGAATAAATGACATGTTCATCCTCATCACTTGAGTCCCAGAACTCATTTTTTTTCAGCAATTAACCACAACCAGCTTTATGAAGATTTAACCAATAAAATGTCACAAAATCAGCAAGCTTCGCCCTGATTCCAGCTTAATAAATCAACTGTTAGCCCAATATCCAGCCACAGTAACAAGTCATATAATTGTAGTCTGGGCAAACTTTGCTTAAACAATTGTTGGCCCATAAAATGAAAAATATCTTTGCCTAGTCTTATTGGACACTTCCTTTGGCAACAAAACTAGAAATGTAGAGAAACACCTTAGAGTAAGAAGAATTAAAAATTAGTCGAGCTAAACAGAGTATACGGAAGGTAAATTTAATAAAAATTTGAATTATGATAATATAATGATCACACTTCAAAACCAAAGGATCATTCAAAATAACCAATTTCGATATTTGGGGTCAATAATACAAGAGGATGGAGAAATTGGATACTGATATAACTAGGAATTGGAGCAGGATGGACAAATGGAGACAGGCTAGTGGCATTTTATGCAATAAAAGAACAACAAATAGGTTTTTAAAAAATTCTATAGAACCGTTATTAGACCAACTATTTTGGGGCAGAGTATTGGGCTTTAAAAAAGAAACAACAACGCATTCATGTAGCGGAAATGAGAATGTCAAGGTGGAAAATTGGAGTAACTAGAAGAGACAGGATCACTGATGAAAGCGTGAGAGAAATATTAGGAATGACACCTATTAGTGAGAAAATAAGAGAGACTAGACTTAGATGGTAATCATGGTATGGACACATATACCAAAGACTTGTAGATGCACAGGCAAGAAGAGGAAGACTACTAGTTGCCATAGAAGGGAAGAGACATAGAGGTCGATCCAACTTATCGTAGGTGAGATGGTGTGTCATAGAAATGAATAGAAAAAGAGAATTCATAGGGGGATTAAGGCAGGGATGATTAAGATAATTGCCAACCCAAAAAAAAAAGAAGAAAATTATACAATAAAAAAAGTTAAACTCCTCATTTTCCCAAGTGACTGAATTGTTGAGAGACAATTTCTAAATTACAGGTTGCATTGCATCAATCGCAACGATGGAGAATGATCAAAGAAACATGTTGAAATCTATTAGAGGATATATATGTGTGTGTGTGTGTGTGTGTGTGTAAATCAAAGTCATATGCATATCAACAAATCTTATGTATGTCAACAAGTTCTACAGACCTAAAATAGGAAGTAACATACTCTGGATTTGCGTACAGCTAATTCCTTACCAAATTTTATTTGAATGAATATATAAGAATTTTAGAATACAAGAGGTCAAATGTTCAATAAAATCTGGTAGCCTACTTGAGCAAAAGTAGGTAAAGCTACACCTACTAGAAGTGACATCTTCAATTTTACACAGACACCCAAGGCATGGAAATTAATTTATTACTTTTTTTAAGGCAACAATCTCTTTGGACAACTACGAATTTAAAACTGTGCCAGGGAAAGTACCATAGGCAGAAAAGTCGGCAAGAAAGGCCAATCACAATCAGGTAATGCAGTGGTGGTTGCACCTGCAGTATATAGGCCTATCCTAAACAATCTCCCATTCCGGTTTATCATAGGGAGTTCTAAGATACACTTTTTTTTTTTTTTTTTTTGATAAGTAAGAGTTCTGAGATACACTTAAATGCTTCCAGAATATATTTCAACACTGCACATTTCCCACAAAAAGGATTCACATTAAACCTAGAATGGATAGGCAACGCACTACCTTAATTCATGCTTTAGAAGATAACATTTGAAGGAACAATTAATCAAATTAGAGACTGCAGAATGCCAAAAAAAAGGTTCATAGACGTAAATGCAGGAACCAACTAGAGCATGCTGCCACGTCCTGAGGTTAAGAGACCAATAATGCAATCACTATATTATCAGAGGTGCTTCTGAATATTAGGGAAGGAAAAGGAAAAAAAAAAAAAAAAACTTACGTCCACAACTTTCCTAATCACACAATGTCAACATAAGTAACTACCAAAAATATCCCACTCACATTTGTAGAAGTGCTTTCGAGATTCAAGGTCGCTGATCTTTCCCCAATACTGAGATCTGGCATGATCCACGAAGGCCATAAATCACCCTTGCTGAGAAACTGGTCCAACAATTTTTGTTCCTCAAAATGATCCTGACAGAGACAATCAAGAACTTCGAGCATCCAAAGGCAGCACAGAGAAGTTATTTGATCAGTTTCTAATTTCTCTTCCTTGAGAATGGCAAACCTGATAGACTGAATCAAAACACTTCCCAATCTCTTCTGATTGTTTAAGCTTAGGTTTTTAACAAACTGATTACTTATCTTGCAACGGAACGCATGCACAAATTCAGACAAGTCAGCCCTTGCCTTGATTTTATTTGAACAATCTTTATCAAGTCGACCACTGGACAAAGCTGCCATGCTACATTCCCAGTCGATCACAACAATTGCAGCTAAAACATCTGGAACCATACCACTTCCCTCACTTAATGTCTTTAGGCAAAAGAAGCTACCATCAAGTACTTCAATTGCAAAATGAGCCATTTCAAGAACATTTATAGAAGATTCAAATCCAGGAACAGAATCATTTGCCGCAGCAGTTAATAAAGAGCATGCATTTGAAACCCAAGAAAATGAAGAATCCATTATGAAAGTGAGTAACTTTCTGAAAACCTCCTCAAATATCAGGATCATTGCATTACTGGACACAAAAGAAGTTTTATCATCCTCTGTTGAGCCACCAAGAACAGCCCTGCAGCCATAGATAAGGATGGGGCAGCATAAGAAAATGTAGAAGGGTTACAGTATACACCAAACAGAATAAATACTCAAATAAACGATTTTTTAACCTTTTTTTTATTATCAAAGGATCAACTTGATTTCAGAATGCAAATTGTCAATAGAAATAAGAACCTTGGCATATATGTAGCCTGATTGAATAATTCTGAGTTCCCATCAAGTGTGTCATTACACAGTTCACTAATCACCTGTATAACACGGACTCTCCTACTAAAAACCTATAACGTACCAGTTTGACACAATATGATAGGGGTATAGTATGTGATATATAACCAACACAAGTACCCAAATCAAACAACAGGGCCTCTAATTTTGAGGACAGAAAAGAAAGGTTTCCTACTTCTGAAATAAGTGGATTCCCTCTTCTCCTCGACATATCCATTTAATTTCAATTATTATTGCGTGTATTTTTAAAGAATAGTGGCACCGTATGTTACGCTTTTATGTAGCATATTATATTTTTAAGTTTGCAAGACATGTACATACCCGTATCAAAGTTTAGCGTTATTTACAATTCTCTTAATTTCACTTTTAAATTCTCTTATTGCGTGTACTTTCTTGCATTCTTTGAAACACATTTAGCTTATTTTATATCGCTTCTTGTATTTCATTACACCACCATTGTTTTTCTTGCTTTATAGATTTCTAACAGTTTCTCCTGAAGTTTCCGTAGCCACATTTCTTATGATCTGCTAGTTTTGACCACAAATTATCTATGATGTCATTCCAGTTCCATTGTTTTCTTGTAATATTTTATCTCTAGATTTAATCTCATTGCATATGTCAATTCTTTACATTTTATGTTCAAGTATCTTTTTCTTGTGCCTTATATTAGTATTATTAATTTTTTTTTTTTCAGGTAAGAACTCACAAACACTTTTGCCCACGCCTGGGCTCTTTGAGAATGGGGAGGTTATACCATTGGGCTAGAGGCCCCCTTTTTTTTTTTTTTTTATTCATTGTGCTTGGATATTTAAATCATTTAATATTCGATTAAATAGAAGTAGTTGGTATTGATTTGCGTGAATTTATTCGAGAATCATCTTACAAAATTTACATGTGCTCACTCTCTTCTTCCATGTTACAATAATCAATCCGTGTCTTATTCACACCACTCTCAAGTGTCACCAAATGTTTTTTTTTTTTTTTTTAAATGTTTTACTCTATTTTGAAGAGAGGTATTTGTTATAGCTAATCATATGCTCTCTTTTTTTGGATAAGTGCTATAGCTAATCATATGCTTTTGCAGTATCTAAGATTATCTACCCTGCATCATTTCCTTTCCAAAGCAATGTCCTACATGAATCCATATGCATCCTGTTTACTCAACTCCTACATTACCATTCAAGTCACCTCCTATGAGTATGTTTTCATAACTTGTTAAATTTCTGTACCATTTCATGATATTTTCATCAAGAGATTCCCAAAATATCTTTTCATGTTTTCATCTAGTGCTCTTTATGTTTCATAACCACTTATTATATTCAACAATATTGCATTAACTTTTAATATAACTTCTTGTCTTCTAACTTCTATAATTTTCTCCAATGTGCTACGCCTATATGTACAATACCCACCCGTACCCATTGGTTATTATTGACACCTGAACAAAACTGTGTCTATCATAAGTTCATAACCCAATATATCCAGCATTTTCTCCATCTGTCTAGTTTCTTGAAGACAATAAATGTTGATTTTCCTCCTCAACGTGTTCACAAGTTTAGTCCATGTATCAATTGATACCTCGAAATTCCATGTTGTTATTCTAATTTTCTGTTCCTTATTATTTTTTCAATTAGAATGAGAATACATCAAAAAGCCTCAACATAATTTTATAGCCAATTATCTTCTTAACACCAACCTCATTTCAAAACAAGCCTTGGATACCAGCAATGTGAGAATCAAATAACATAAATTTATGATCTCTTCACAACAATGATCTCATAGTTCATTTCAATCTCTCAAGTAACCGAAGTGTGCAAAGGAAAACAAATAGCAAGCAAGACATAGTAAAATAAATATTTAAAACAAATATAATAGACATGTATAACAATTCAACTATAATAAAATGTAAAAAATAAAACAAATCAAACAACAGCTGAATTTAAAGATTAATCAGCAAAATATTTCTCAACTACAACAAAATATTAGCAAATTTAACTAGATACAACAATCAAAGCATAAAAGACTAAATAACAGATCAAATTACAAGTACAACAGGAATGCATTCAGCAATATATACAACTATATGTGCAAAGTAACGTGTATAATATATGTGTATGTATTAATATGCAAGTGTTGCTTATATATGTGTGTTTGTATATTTCTGTGACTTACATATGCTTCCCATGTAGTGCCAATCTCTGCTGTCGGGGTTTTACTCCAAAAACACAGGATATCATTATTATCAATTAGAGAACAAATAAAATAGTGAATGCAGCATGAACTTAATGATTGTTTTTCATACTCATAATTTTTAAATCATTTTAATACCTCATTCATAATTTAGTATAGAAACAACAGTGTACCTCCCCAAGTAATTTAATGTATGCAAAGTTACAAATAACTCAAATGTATATTTTACTAAATTTCACATACTGCATAAACCGAGCATCAGAAGTTCCAAAGGGAGGCAGAGCACGAGCAATGGAAACAGCAGCCGAATCTAGAAGCTCATGATGCCAGTGGTCGGGTTGGAAGCCTTGCAGGTGATCAAAATCTACTCCGGCCTTCTTTTTTATTTTCTCTCTTGTTTTCTCCAAAAAGATTGCCAAAACAAGTAAGTGGTTGGTGTCTGGAATACCACCAGGCCTGGCCCCAAAGTGTTCACAATTTGTTGCGTATGTAATAATACTATTCCACTTTTCTGAAAAACATTCATCATCAAGTAATGCTAGCAAAAGATCTAGTCGAACGCTGATTGAGGAACTACTTTCTTGCAAGCACCAAGGGATAAATATTTCATTCAACACTCGCAATAACTGCTCAGAATCCACTTCTCTGTTTTTCTCATCAGAAATGCAACTGTAGGAATCACTTCCATTGAAAACAAGTTCTCCAATAATCTTGCGTGGTCCAAATACTGAAACTGCAGTCGACAAAAGCCTCACAGTATCTGGTGAGTCCTGAAGTCAAGTAGATCAAATAGAACAATGAAAGTAAGAGCACAGATGGAAGAATAGAAAAATGAAACTAAGAGCACAGATGTAAGATATATACAAAATGTTTTATTTATTTATTTTTATCCTTTGTAAAGGAAATCTTCACTGGGAAGCTTATGTACACTAATTTAATGCACCCTTACACAATGTCTGGCTATTAGACGCAAAATATAAAGACTAGACAATATTTCCAACAAATATAGTAGAACTAGCCATTGGATTAGCTTGCTGCAACTTTTCATACTTCTTTTTAAAAATAAATTCTTGAAGTATGAACTAGTACACAAATTCTCCATAATATACATGAGCTGGTCATCTTTGGTGCACTTTCTTTTTACTTTCTCTACATCACGCTCTTATCTAAACTTGATGAATTTCATCTACAAAAAGAAAGAAGCCAATATAAAATGTTAACTGAGTCCTACTCAACAAACCTAATACTTATATAAGAAACTCTATGCCCATATAAGCACATTTGTGATTTGTCACAGTAAAAAATGAACCCAATATCTATGTTACCTGGACTAGGATATGTGTGTCAGTTGCATGTATGTAACCAACCGTTAGACATATCAAATTACCAAACAAAAGGACACAGGACCCTGCTAAACATTCATATTATCCAAAATTTATAATTTATTCTAAAGAATAAAAATGATTTCTTTATGTTAGTTGCAAGTATGTATCCAAGCGTTAGACATATCAAATTACCAAACAAAAGGACACAGGACCCTGCTAAACATTCATATTATCCAAAATTTAAAATTTTTTCTATAGAATAAAAATGATTTCTTTATGTTGCATATTGTTTAACATACGCAATTTCTAATTTATTTTATAGAATAAAATATTCTCTTTATGTTACATAGTGTTTAATATACGAATTTCACTCATTTTGAAGCAAATATCATATAATTATATCATTGGAAACGCTTTTCACGTGAATGTCCAACCAGAAGTGTTGACACATATCCCTTACCCAAGGTATTCTGTGTCCGAAATAGGTACTTCAACTACTTTTGAAGAGTCCATGTAACATAGCCCACTATTCAAAAAGAAGTGCTAATAGAAGTAGAGCTTCAACAAAAACCTTAATAATATATATAAGACTAAAAATGAATTTTTAACAGAAATAAAGAAAGCCAAGAAAGCAGCATCTTGTCTGTGTATTGCTAAAACTGTAACCTGGTACATATCAGGGCAATCAAAGAAGCTTCATAAGCATATTAGATTACAATCCAAGACTGACCAAAATTTGACTGATTAAGATCCAATCATGGAACTATATTAGATCAATAAATTTAAATTCATAGATCTACAAAATTACATTACAGAATTCACTCAAATACAGAGTGTAATAAAGATCCAAATCCGATTACAAAAAGTATATTTAATATTTACATATATAAATATAATATATATTCTATAAAAAAAAACTTTTAAACGTTATCTAATACCAGAGTTATTATGTTCTGGATTCCAAACGCTAAACAAAAAGATACAAAAAATCTTTTATGGTTACAAATCAAATTTGTCGATCAATTTATAACAGAACCACCAATCAGATATGAGTTCAAATTCATAAACAGCACTAACCAATACATATTAACAAATGTATCCATTATGGTTGATATCGAAAACATGCCCCACAAACCATAATAAGAGTTATATTATAATACAGTAACTTACGAGTGTTCTAATCAATGGGAAAGACTTCGCCACCATTGGTCCAATTAAATGAACCAAGGGCCACGTTTCACCTTTCTGCACTGCATGCTGCTCCAATAATAACAAAAACTTGATGACCCGTTCAATATTATCAGTAGTACTCTGCATGTTATCAATTTGCTGAATTATCTCGACGCAGTTTTCTTGAAATGTTGTACAGAAAGGCAAGAGAAGATCATGTTGAAGGGAATAAATGCCGGAAAGAATTTCAATAATGCACTTCCCCAAATCTTGCAAATAACCTATTGAATACTTAACGTTGAGAGTGTCAATTGTTTCCTTGTGAGAAAGTTGAATGCTACCCTTAGACAGATACCTGGACTGCCCCAAGGAGACTCTATCCGGATCTTTTGAGCTGACAAACAGCAGGTAGTCATACCACATATGCTTTAGAAGGATCTTCTCAATGAGAGTAACATGGAATTGATGAATGGCATCTACTCCATCACAATACCTGATATAAAAGAGGAACAGAATGACAATTCATTGAAATGATTGAAGCGAACTATAGATTATCTCATGGCAAATAAAAGCGGATAAGGACAATATCCAGATCTACATGTTACATAGCACAAGAAACACGACACACTGGAATATGAAGTATAAATAAAATTCGAGAGATAAATGAAATCTCACCTTGAAGCATTTCGTAATCCCCAGATAAAACATTCTCTAAATGCCAGGAAAAATGCTAATCGATCTGCAGCTAAAGAATGGGATGGGTTTCTTCCAGCCCATAGGTTCTCAAAAAAGTCAATGAAGAACTTCTCTCCCACTATTGCTTGAGGAGGCAGAGTATCTAAAAATAGAACCAAAGCTGGATAAGAAACTTGCTGGGAGCCAAAGCACCCATTCCTAAGAAAATGCAAGAACCGGTTCAACACAGTTTTCTGACTATTCAAGGTAGTCCAACTGCTTGGAAATCTTCTGGAAAATTGCAATACCGTATCCCACATTGATGAATGGCAAGCCGGATCCATTTCTTGGAAAGATCCAAGTATTGCAGTGGCAACAGTTTTCATATTTCCTTCAGTAAAGACATGAGGAATGTTTTTAATAAAACTACTAAGCACCGAATACGTAGCTGCACGGATAGCAGGGCTTTGAGACTTCAGAAAGTCTAGAAAATATTTATGAGCAGTGAACAACCTTTCTGCATAAGAAATAGCTGCAGCCCTGGCTTTTGAAGCATGTTTTGGTTCAGCAGTTACATTTTCAAAGCCAGGTCTTTCAAATTGCAAGTTCACTAATATATCAAGAAGAGTGGCCAATGCGAGCAATGATGAAGAGATCACCTGCAACCCAGGGAATCGGAAAAATAAATTCAAGAACAAAACTATGACAAAACACCATGCAGGAAACAGATGTCAGCAATCGAGAAAGAAACACAGGACAACCATTTTGATAGATCACCCCGGCCCCCCAACCCCCACCCAAAAAGAAGAAGAAGAAGAAGAAGCTAAAACGATGTTTAACTAGGACATTTTAACCACAGTTTCTGTTCAATTAGAAAATATCTGCACACTGAATCCCCTCTATAAACACTTCTCATCACAAAAAGACAGCTGTATCATTCATCAATTCCTGCACGGTTGCCCCCCATGCAAAGAGATTTTTATTGACAGAAACTGGGCTATCTCGAAAGACCATGGAACTCATCATAGAAAAATTTTAGATCCTCTGAACAAGTTCACAGCATGTATCACCGGAACATCAAAACACATCCACAAAACCACTTAGAGATGAGTTGTTTCATGTTGATTAATGTCGAATATCATCTCAAAGCCATATAACTACCCTTTAAAAAATCACCAAGTTCCAAGCCATGTACTAAAGAAAGATTAACAATCATTCATTAAGAGTGATTTCAAGGGGATGCATACTGTATGCACAATCCACCACAAGACTAACCCAATAAAAATTTAAAAATTTACTTTATTCATTTTAAAAAGTTTTCAAAAAATGAGGACAATTTGGGAAAGTTTTAATTTGGAACGTCCCAAAAAGGAAAGTGGACACTTACTTTGGGACATGCCAAAAGAGAAAGACAGACACTTATTTTGGGGAGTGAGTATACATATACATATATATATATATATATGAGAGAGAACCCTGATTGCATACGTGCCGGTGTATATCTTCCAATTCGTCAGAAGCAGCTGCTTTATCAGACATATTCTCTGGCGTGAGCTTTAGATTCTCTTCCAAATACATAAATATTTCAGCTGTACATAAAATCAAGGCATCTAATCTCTTTTCCGGTGTTGAAAAGGCTGCCTGTTACATGATTGAACAGTATGATTAGCCAAAGTGAATGCGAACCCAGCTTTGCCCATTCAATTGATCAGTAAGTCATATGAAGCATGGACAAACAATATGGTATCCTTAGCTGACAGAAAAATCAAATTTACAGACAAGAATAACACTTAAATTTCAGCTTATATTTTTTGTTCTTTAAAAATGAAAAATTAAAGAAACAATAAGCGTGTAACAAAATGGGGAAAAAAAAAATTTATGCACATATTTGCAAATTTGAGATATAATTGGAATGTTCGAATCTAGAACAAGCTGGAAAATATGATAAATGTGCACCAATACAAATGCTCAAATAGGAATAAAATAATATTGCTCCAAATGGAATCCCCAATGCAAACTTTCAAATCCACATAAAATTAAAAAATAATTGCATCATCTAGGTCATTTATTTTTCCCATCAGGTACTTCTGTTTATTTGTGTTACTTATTCAAAAAATAATAATAATAAATAAATAAATTGAAAAAAAAAAAAGAAAGAAAGAAAGAAAGAAATTTCATCATCCGGGATCTTAAATTTTCCATATTATTAACAAATCTATCATGATCAAATTGTCATGTAAACCAGTTATCTACAGACACATAAGACACCATCGTCCATGTCCGTCCCTATTCCCTAGACAAATGAACAAGGTTTATCACCTTGAACTTAATTCATATGTATGCTGTATGCATATAAAGAGCACAGTACTAGATAAGGAACCATCAGCATGGCTTTCAAGAAAAGATTTAGCAATTTCTCATTGCCTATTTACATCTAATATACAATCTAGTTTGGAGATGATAAGTGGAGATAGTTTGGAATGCATCCAAAACTATTTAAATCTAATCTGATGCTGCACTTTGGGCAAGATTTGTCGACCCTACCAAGTTAAATCCATTCAGTAAGATTCAAAATAAGTGAATTTGACCAAACCACAGCCCTGAAGCACACACAAGTCTAAAATATTTGTTTTCATTTCTTTTGTTAATTACCACTAAATTTTTATTTTTATTTTAAAAATGACACATGAAAATCTTGAAGATGCAGACACGACATGATGAACTTTAAAAAAGTGAGACTGTAAGACACAGAAGGTGACAATAAAATACAACATGATTATAGTCACCTCTTATATAGAGAAAGTAATATATATAAGGAGACGACCTATGTTACATGCACTCTGGTACATGTGTCAGGTGCAGGTCCAAACATCAAATTTATCAAATCCTAGAACCAATGACACAAGTACACTACTCAAAATTCATATATTTAATATTTCACTCATTTTTTATATTATTACTTTTTCATTTTTGGTAGTAAATTGAATTTTTTTTTTTGAAGTAATACTGAGCGAAAAGGACATAATAAGAAGAGTTTTATATACAATTATATGATACACTTGAATTATTAAATATACTTGATAAGTATGTCCAAACATGCTTGTCAAACACATATCCCATATCCATGTCTGGAGTGTTGTGTCTCCCACACAAATACTTCGCGTTGTTCAAGATTGTATGCAGCATAAGAGACGAGTAACGACACGTGTATGATGTTTGTGTATGTACGTGAACATATAGAAATATGTATATTTATATGTGCAACCAATCTATTGACTCCTCTGTCCACTCATTGTCTAGTAAGCACTTTTTAAAATTTAAATAAAACCTTTCTACTCCTGGTGTTTTTCACTATCATAGATTTTTTTTCTTTTTTAAAATTTTTATATAAACATTCAATTGGATCTTTTTCTTCCAACTTTCTATATTCCATACTTAAAGAAAGTATGATGCTATGTAAAGATCCATTTTCCACATGTTGGAGAGTGTACATGAAGTCAACTATGTATCCACAATTAAGAAATTTATTTTTAAATTATAAGCACGTTCAGAATGTGTTGGACACGTCTCCTAAAGTGTACAATAAGTGTGGGTGTATATAACACTTGTTCAACAAAGAGAGGACTCCTCCTTTTACTTATTATTATATCCATGAAAATAAAATATTTTATATAAACACAAAAATATATCTAGATATCAAAGTTTGACTGCATATACATTTTCATAAACAAAAAAATTTACCTTCTTTACTCATAAAATCTGTGTGCACGCTAGGGCTAACCCAAATTGAAACGATAACTGCACCACGTTTTAGCCAAGTGACTCAGTCTCAGGATTGGGTTGAGGCTGGTCTAACCTCAAGCCCAAAATATGTACAAAGTGCAACATTAGCAATTTTTCTCAGCAATGTGGATATTTTTACAACTAACAATATTGAGCTATAAGCCTAAAATGCCCTATGAAAACATAAGTCATCAGGTAGAATGCAACCCCAATAAATAGGTTGTTGCCAGACCATTTTCTTGACAGGTGGGTGATCATACTATGCTACTACAGGGTCTGGTCATAGTCATGATCATTAATTGATGTTTATTGACTACCAAAAAACACAATGGGGTTTATGGGAGTTGTCACTCTGACTTTATTACTTATGATATACTATCGTAACTGATCACTAACCAAATCTCAATCCTATCATCTGCAGCGTCGAGGTTTATATGACAAAAACCTAAATACCCCCCTTCAAGATTAACAGAGTAGACTATTATCAATTAAAAGCGAAAGAGTGGGACACAAGGAAAATGTTACAGGTATTAAACTATGATCTTCTTTCTTGTTCTCTGTGTCATTTGGTCATTCATACTCGTTTGTAGAATAAGTAACCAACAGAGAAATAGGCAGGCTCTGGGGAGTTTTAATGTTAGAAACAAAATAGAAAGTTTCCAAGTTATTAATGAGTAGGTTTTGAACCTTAAAGAAATTCGTTACCCAACTTATGGTGTGAGAAAATAGTAGGCACATCTAAGGTAGTGTGTAACTGCCCCTCCGTCCACAGAATATCTATGGTGTATGCAAACAGTAAGTGGAATAATACCACTCCAACTCGCCCCAATAGGAACCCACAATCATGTCATCGACTTCTGCTTTCGAAAAAATCTTACTAAGCTCCTCCTCAACCAACATAAGAGAAGGAAATCACATGAAAATAAACCATCTCTCTCTCTCACACACACAGGGGAAATGGAATAATGATGAGCTGATAATCCAAAGTGCAATATAAATCAGTTATTATTATAATAAGTAGGAAAAACAAGAGTGCACCTGCAATGAATGCTTTGCAGCTTGAGAAACTTCAGAAACTGGATCAAACTGGGAAAACCACCACGGTCCCATCAAAGACTTCAGATGAGGAGCCAAGTCTCTTCTGGAAAAATTGAGAGGAAGGAAAAAAAATCCACAAACAAGTTCTCAGGAAATTTGATAGAAAAGAAGGAAAAGCATATAATAATTATGGAACAAAAATATCAACAACAGAAAGAGCCACAAATGCTACAGTAATATGTAAATATTCATAAACTTAAGAGCAAACAATTAATTAATAATTAGAGAAAGAGACGCCTACTGCAGATACAAGAGATCGTATATTCCTGCTCCAAGTTCATAGCTTTTCATCAGTGATCTTTCCAATCGCAATTCAATTAAATAAAATTTCCTTACCGTGAAAAACTAAAATATAAAAACTCAGATAGTGATAGCAATCATAGCGTGAGCAGTGTTGATTCGTTTGGAGTGATTCGCAAAGTAATTTCTTAACAAGCTACTAAGCATAACACTAAGAAACTTGAATTGTTCCACTGACATCTAAATGCCACGATCTCTTCTTTTTTTTTTTTTCCCCCGGATGCCACAATCCCTGGACCTAGAATAAGGGAACAATATTATTTTTGTTTTATAATCACTCTTTCTAAAAACAAGTGGGGAAGAAAGCACTAAATAACTGCAAGTCCGTAAATAAAACATGCCTACATGATAAACTAAATAAGTAGCAAGGCGGATTCTCAAAACTCAGGAAGATATACATTTGACTAGACCACCAAAACTAAAACTACTTATGCCTACTTCTGTACCGTATCCAAGAAAAAGAGCTAAGAAATATTTTTCAATTCACAACCTAGAGATTTGTCATTCCTCTGCTAAGGAACGCGGTCTCTTCTGTCCTATGACAAGATTTTGTGGATGTCACTTCTCCAAATTCGAGCAATGAGGTCATAAGTAATGACAGTTGAATAATTTTCTTTCAACAATCTCTTCATCAGCATTTAAATGCCAAGTTTGCCAGTTTATTTAAGGTGTTTAAGATACGGAGATGGTCCTTGTATTTATAATTTGGCAAGAACCATTCACATTTATACAGGTCAAAAAACAGAAACAACTTGCCCACGAACTGTTAACCACTTTACTCTAAAAGTTTAAGCTCTCTATAACTTGCACATGAACTGTTAACCACCCTCTACTCTAAAAGCATAAGTTGTTAGAGAGGGTGTGACTTTAATATTCAAATCCTCTAACATAAGTGTAACTTTAATATTTAAATTCTCTAACACACCCCTTCATGTGTGGCCTTCTTTTGGTCCAATACGTGTTTCAATTTGGGTGACGGTGAGGTTTAAACTCAGGACCTAGCTTGCTCTGATACCATGTTTACCACCATCTACTCTAAAAAATTAAGATGCTAGAGATGGTGCATCTTTAATATTTAAATCCTCTAACGTAGGATGTAACTTTAACATTTAAATCCAGTAACACAAATGTTATATAGACATCGACAAAATTGACATACAAAAAACCTAATTTTGCACATTTTCAACAACTATCACAGATTAAATAAATTATTGTACTAACTTTGGAAAACATGAACTATTTCCTAGTCCTTTCTTCACCCACGCGATGGAAGACCGACTATCAAACTAAAACATCCTAACAAGCACATCAATACACAGCTAACAAGTCACAGGACTCTCTTTCCCTACTTCTATACAGCTTTAAACAGTTAGTAGCATAAACAAGGGCAAGGCAAACAAGATGTATAGTTCAAATCAAGATAAGATAAGCCCATACCCAACAACAGTGACAAGATTAGTCATGGTGTCCTGCGTAGCTCGCCGAACCTCCCTATTGTAGTCCAGCAACAGCTTTTTGTATTCAAATGCCTAAGCAAGAAAAAGCAAAATACTTAAGTCACCATTATATCGAAGTGTACCACCATTTCCTTCCCCGATTTAATTTGAAAGTAATAGAAATAGCACAATTTCCAACTGCATCTATCAACCAACATTTGAGTTGAGAGGTAACAAGCATACCCATTGAGGAATGATAGGCACTATTTCCTTCCCCGATTTTTGTTTGAGTAGCAAAGACAGAGATGATAAAGCTTTAAGCTGCAGAAGAAAATGTTAGTGAACTTCTTAACTTGGGAAAAAAGAAAACAGATGGACGCTACATGGTTGAATTATAAGACTCATAAGCTCCAATATCTAACACTATTGAGATGAATAAACAGACAAAACTAGTCGGGAGTATTATAAGAAAACTAGATGCACAAACAAGCAAAGATGCAACAATGAGAGATATAAGGTGAATTTAAAATGCAAGACCAGTAATAACTGCTGAACCAAAAGTTGCTAGCATTAGTGATTTCTTATAATCTTGAATTTAGTTTTGTGAAGCACATTCACTTGCAATGCAGTGACCATTTAAGTAAGTTGGTCAAGTTGAGCTCAGACCTGGTCAACTACCACTCATTGGCAAGTAAATGCAACTGCCAAGTTCAGCCAGATAATATGTTAATAGTTATATAATGGATAGACTAACACCACTGATAAGTGAACCGAACAGCTAAAAGCCATAATACAAACTCTAGACTCTCTGCAAACAAAAGCAGTAAACTATGCCAAGAGAACTATCTACAGGGATTTTAAAATAGCCAATTAGGCAGCTAAGAAAGTCATGGCAGCAATGAAGAAACAACTACGGCAAAACAAATGAAAGTTTATTATTTATAAGTGCAGGAGAACAAACACCAATTGGGTTTCCAATACCCCACACCCCCCACCCACCCACCCACACACACACCAAAGATACCAATCGTGCTTTCACATGAATTTTATCAAGAAAACGTTGAACAATGATTATACGCTAAAATTATGGGAAACATTCTCCAACCAAGCAGGAAAAGCTCTGGTACCCACTTGATGTAGCCACAGGTTATCAACAAGACTTGTGAAGAACTTCCATGAACAAGTTCTAAAAAAATCATGCAATTAAGTAGCTCATGACCTCCAAATAATATGTCCAGAGAATCTTCCAAGCTTCCAAATAGTCCATCTAGAGAACGGCGTAGGAGATTAAGGTGCACAAACAAGAGACTGAAGAAGTAGAGAAGGATAACAACAATAATGATAAGTAGGTTGAGAGAAGAGAAAAAGAATAGAGAAGAGATGTAGGAATGCTAAAGAAAAATAGAATACAGCGATAAAAGTAGTGGAAAGGTAGCCATCATAGGATGATTCTAAATGACTCACCTCCCCCACAAAGAGGCAACACAGTATTTAATATATATAACTAAAGTAATTGGATCCTAACAATTGATTTCTAACTCCTGTCATCACTTTACATAATCTCAAGTACCAAGTCATTTATATCTCTTAAGTTGTCATATGCAGGTACCAAGTCTTTTAAGTTGTCATATGCAGGTGACTAGTTAAGTGGAATTTAAAAGGATGTTGATATCCCCCACGTCATAGGCTATATATAAATACACATAATAACCAGACAAAACTAATATGTTTATAATAAAAGATCAATTAAGTCCCAATAACTAAGCTCATTGCTCACCAGTTGCTAAGCAAGGCCATATAGAGACGAAATCGGAACACATAGCCGATCGGAACACATAGCGAACCCCGTGATACACGAACAGCCTCTTGAGTAAATTAATCTTGCTCCTTATCATTAACAAATCCATCATACATACAGTACCTTATCATTAACAATTCATCCTAGCCAATGACTGAACTATTCTTTTTAATGGACAAAGCTTTTGCTAAAAGCAGCACTCGAGAGTTTATTACAAGTAATCGTATAACATTACCTTGGTGGTCGGGTCCTTCCTCGCAAGCCTCTTTAAGTGTTGTGCCACTTCACCGTCCATATCCTGCGACACCAAAGCCACATAAGATCGATGGAGACAATAAATATAAGGTAACATAACATATTTAGTATGATATTGTTTTTTCCCATATCCGCAAGCCAAAGAGTGATTGAACTCTCATCCACAACTAAAGTACTAAACATGTTTGGCACGTGGCCGCTGCTGCACTCAGAAAATTTGGGGACTAAGACAGACTATGCGTATGCCCACAAACTTGAAAAATGCAACATTTTTACCCTGCAATTAAGGTAGAGCTTTTAACTGGAACGATAATATCATAACGATTAAAGACAAATTAAGTTGAATTGGGAATTGACTTACAATGCTTTCAAGCTATATAAAGAAAAATTCGACAACTTTAAACATCCTTTTTGTAGATAACTAAACTGAAACAAACACTTTGATTTTCAAGTCTGACAACAAATGCATGAACCTAGTTATAATTTTAGTTTTCTAAACAAAGTTGTACTAGAATGGCACGTGAATAACCCATTTTTTGTCTTCAAGTTTTTTAAGTGGGATTCAGTTCAATTCTTTTACTTCTTTAAGAAAGCAAGTTCTACTAGCTTTCGTTTTAAAGTTGTGCATAAAGATTTCTTGCAAAAGCCATAATTGTTTTTTTCTCTCTACTTCAAGCCCCCTCTCCTTCTTCTTCTCTCTATGAAATATCTATTTATGGATATAAATCGAAATTCAAAAATACATATATCATTCAATTACCAATATACAGACACAAAGGATCCAAAGAAACTGAGAGAAAATAATACCAAAAGTGGATTGCTTGCATCTTCGCCTGTGAAAGAAGAATCCAGCCGAGAACTACCCACATAGCCTCCAAATCCAACGGCCGTAGCACCCGACGGCAAGAGAGAAGCAGCCATACTAATATATATATATATATGCATCAAAGAAATCGTTAATACGAATTTCGCAATCTTGAAAACAAAACTCTAAAAAAAAAAACCAAGAAAGTGATGAATTACCTGCTGCTTGAGGGACGAGCCTTACTTCTGGCTCCTTCTCCTTTCTGTCTCCCCATTACTATATATATGTATGTATGTGTATATGATATTTTCTTTGTATATGAAAGAAGAAACCGGCGATTCTTTCTTTTGTTGAGTTTGGTATGAGATTTTCCGCCTCTTTCCCTGTGGAATCTTCTGTCGTCCCTCCCAAACAACGATCGCAGAGAAGAAGATTTCTTCCTTCTTTTTTTTTCCTCTTTCCGAAGAGAGCTTCGAAAACCCTTTTTGGGCCCGATGGGGGAGACAAGTCAGCCCGTGGGCTGTATCTATTACGGTATACGGACCAGATCAAAAAAACCCTTACTCGGCCCGGTGGGGGAGAAAAGTGAGCCCCTTGGCTGTAATTAGCGTATAAATAGACTCAAATGTATATATGATTGTTAGGGGTATTATAGTCATTCCGACGGAATGGATTTCATCGAACAATTAACGCAATTTTAGTAGTTTGACTTTGACTTCCTTAACTTGTCATGAACTTCTTAAATTAAATATATTGCTACTCAAAATATAACAAGAGCAAGAATTATAAAATACAAGAGATGAGAAGAAACGAGGAGGGAAGCGAGTTTTCTATTATTATGTTCTCGTTTGGTGTGTAGAACTCAATGCAATTCGTGCATATTAATAGGCAAAATTTTACACCTACTTTACTATTCTTTTCCTTCATCTTTTGTTTAGAGTCCACGCTTCTACACACTCAATCTATACATTTATTTCTTCTGACATCAATAAACCTATATAATTGGTGCAAGACATTTAATATATGTGGAACCCACAACTTTTACAACGCTCCCCATTAGGGTTCGTTATACTACACTAAGAATATGTCTCGTTAAAACCTTACTAAGAATAAATGAGTGAGATAAAAACTTAGCGAAGGAAAAAAAGTACATATTATTGTGTATCTAAAAATGGTATTACATAAGTTAATATTGCCTCATTAAAACCTTGTCGGAAAAACTAGTGGGAAAAACTATAACGAAGAAAAAATAATACAGTATGCCAATACCTTTTCAATTTAATTGTTCCCCCTCATTCAGCATTAAATACCATTGAGTCGACGCATTCCGATATTATGTACCAGATTCTTGAATGTTGTAGTTGGAAGCGCTTTAGTGAATAAATCTGCAAGATTATCACTAAAGCGTATCTGTTTAACATCAATATCACGGCTCTTCTTGAGCTCATGTGTGGAAAAGAATTTTGGTGAAATGTGCTTGGTTCTGTCATTTTTTATATAGCATTCTCTTACATATGCAATACACGCTGTATTATCTTCATATAATATTGTTGGACTATTTTTTATTGAGGAGGGTCCACATGATTCCCGAATATGTTGTACCACGGATCTTAAGCAGACACACTCTCTATTTACTTTATGAATTGCGAGTATCTCAAAGTGATTTGAGGAAGTTACAGTCATGGTCTGTTTCATAGATCGCCATGGTATAGCAGCATCACCACAAATAAACAAGTACCTTGTTTGTAATCGGGCTATATGTGGGTCAGAAAGATAACCTGCATCGATATATCCGATCAACTGGGGCTTTGATTTTCTTGAATAAAACAACCCCATATTAGTCATTCCCCGAAGGTAACGCAGAATGTGTTTGACCCCATTCCAATGTCTCTACAGGACTATGTCGTGCTAGTAAGTTGACTGCAAATGCTACATCAGGTTTGGTGCAATTCACAAGATACATAAGAGCACCGATTGCACTAAGATATGGTACTTTAGAACCAAGAACTTCTTCGCCTTCTTCTTGAGGATGAAAAATATTTTTCTTAACATCAAGTAATCGGACAACCATTGGAGAACTCAAAGGGTGAGCTTTATCCATATAAAAGCGCTTTAGGACTTTTTCAGTATATATTGACTGATGGATAAGAATTCCACTTGGTAAATGCTCGATCTGCAGGTCGAGACAAATTTTTGTTTTACCAAGATATTTCATTTCAAATTCTTTCTTTAAATAATTAGCAGTAGTGGTAAGCACTTCAGGAGTTCCCACAAGATTTAGATTGTCAACATATACAGCTATAATAGCAAATCCAGATTTTAATTTCTTGATGAAAATGCATGGACAAACTGGATTATTCACATATCTTCTTTTAGTGAATATTCAATGAGACGATTATACCACATGCGTCCGGATTGCTTCAATCCGTATAAGGATCGTTGTAGCTTGATCGAAAACATGATGCGCGATTTCAAGTTATTTGCTTCAAGCATTTTAAATCCTTTAGTGATTTATATATATACATGTCACTATCTAATGATCCATATAAATAAGTTGTAACCACGTTCATCAGACGCATATCCAATCCTTCTGAGACCATCAAACTGATCAAGAAGCGAAATATGATTACATCCATCAAAGGAGAGTATGTCTCCTCATAATCAATACCAGGTTTCTACAAGAAACCTTGAGCTACAAATCAGGTTTTGTATTTCACAATTTCATTTTTCTCATTATGTTTTCATACAATTACCCATTTGTACCCTACAGGCATGACATCTTCAGGTGTTTGGACTACAGGTCCAAATACTTCATGTTTTGCTAATGAGTTTAGCTCTACTTGTATTGCTTCTTTCTATTTTGGCCAATCATTTTTACGTCGACATTCTTCGACGTTTTGAGATTCAGGATCCTTATTATCACCTGCAATATTAAGAGCAACTGCAAAGGAGAATATATCGTTAATAATAACTTTTTTTCTATCCCACAATTCTCCATAGTTTAGTGAGATCTCAATATTTTCAAGTACCAGTGCCTTTTCAGGGCTTGTGCCACTTCTGGGGCATGCCTCTGCTGGGGTTTGCCTCTTCTGGGACATGTATCTCTTCTGGGGCTATTTGTTTGTAAAATTTAGATTGATTAATCATTTTCATTGTTCCTTTTGTAAGTATGGCCTCTTAAGGAACGTTAATTTCTTTATTTGATTTCTCTTGTACTTTCCTCTTCGGGGAACAATATCTTTTGCACCAATAGGCCTACCACACTTTTGGCGTGTTTTAGATACATATTGATGGGTTGTCCTTCAGGGACATCAATTTGGGCTAGAATATTTTACAGCCGGTATATGGGACTTTACCACTTTCTTTGTGTCAGTGAATGCATCTGGCAATTGATTTGCAATACCTTACAAATGAATGATCCTCTGAACTTCTAGTTCACATTAATATGTTCGAGAATCAAAATGAGATAAAGTCAAGATATTCCAATTAATCTCATGCTGCTCTGTTTGTTGTTTATTTTCTCCCTCTAATGGTGGGAAAACGGTATCATCAAAATGATAGTCAACAAACTGTGCCTTAAAGACATCACTTGTTATAGGTTCAAGATATCTAATGATAGATGGAGAATCAAAATCTACATAAATCCCAAGTCGTCGTTGAGGACCCATTTTGGTGCGTTGTGGTGGTGCAATAGGAACATGTATAACATAACCAAAAACTCGTAAGTGAGAAATATTTGGTTGTTGACTAACTATAAGTTGTAAAGGTAAAAAACTATAGTAAGCAGTTGGTCTAATGCTAACTAAGGATGCTGCATATAATATGGCATGTCCCCATAGGAAGTTTTGTTCTCATAAGTAATGGTCTAGCAATTAACTGAAGACGTTTAATAAAAGATTCTGCAAGACCATTTTGGGTATGAGTGTGTGGAACAGGATGTTCAACATCAATGCCAATTGACATGCAATAGTCATCAAATGCTCGAGACGTGAATTCAGTGGCATTATCAAGACGGATCGTCTTGATCGAATAGTCCGGGAATTGTGCTCGTAATTGAATTATTTGAGTAAGAAGTCGAACAAATGCAACATTATGAGTATAAAGTAAACTTACATGTGACCGCCGTGTTAATGCATCAATTAATACCATAAAATACCGAAATGGTCCACATGTTGGATGAATTGGTCCACATATATCCCCTTAGATTCTTTGTAAAAACATTGGGGATTCAACGACGACCTTTGAGGGTGATGGTCTGACAATCAATTTACCTAGTGAGCAGGCTGTACATGGATAATCATTTGACAAAAGAATTTTTTGGTTCTTTAGTGGATGCCTATGTGAATTTTTAATGATTCGGCACATCATTGTTGACCCAGGATGGCCAAGACAATCATGCCAAAGTATAAAAATCTTTGAGTTATAACACTTCTGGTGCTTTATAACACTTCTGGTACATTATAACACTTTGGGTGCCTACACTTCTGGTGCATCACAGCACTTCTGGTGCTTCGCACTTCTAATGCGTTATAACATTTTTGGTGTCTGCACTTCTGGTGCATCGCTACATGTGATTCAATTGCTCTTATAGTTGTGGAATACAATCCAGAAGAGAGAGTAGGGAGTTTTTCTAATACATGTTTCTGGCATGAAATAATAGATGTAATGCAAAAGTAGTCAACACTACCTTCATTTATAGTTTCAATATGATATCCATTACGACGTATATTTTTAAAACTCAACAGATTTCTTCTGGATCTAGTTGAGTACAAAGCATCCTCAATATATAATTTTGTTCCACATGGTAACAAAATATTAACTCTTTCAAAGCCTTCAATCAAGTCTGCAGGACCTGATATTGTAGTTACACTAGCTTCAGCTAATGTTATATGAGAGAAATATTTTATATCTCGAAGGATAGTGTGCGTTGTTGCACTGTCTGCTAAACAGATATCCTCACCAGATTTATTGGACTTAGTTGTCAGATCCATGCCTCTTCATATATGCAAATTTATAATTGATTAATTTCAAAAAGAAATATGAAAATAGATAAAATATAAATATACTAAGACATGAATAAAATCACACTGAAACAGATACAATAAAGTATACTTAGAGATTTACAATACAACAATTATCTTACAATACTGCTACAATATTGTCAATTGCAAATATCATACAGGAAAATAGGAGAACATAGTTGCAGTACGGGTAGTTGTAAATATCATACAGAAAATAGGGAAACACATTAATTGGTATAAACATCACCAATGAGATGGTCAATTTTGCCAATGGGGTCCTCAAAAAAATCCGAGACATCCAGGTAAGTGATGTCTACTGACTCATCATCATCAATAAAATTCATTTTAATATTTTTCCCTTTTTCATTTACTGAGGCTTGGTAAAGGTCGGCCAGATGTCTGGGCGTATGATAGGTGCGAAACCAGTGCCCTTTTATGTTACACCGATAACACGGCTGCTCTCCATAATTCTAAGGGGTTTTGTTTTGCAAACTCTTTTCTTTTGCCTGCTTGGTCACATTTGCATTCCACTTCTGGTAGACCGGCTTCCACTTCTAGTGGAACGGTGTGGGGTTTCTTCTGGGAAACTGTAAGAGATTCTGACCACCACGGTTGTGGTAATTGTTTCTACCATAACCATCCTAATGATCACGGCCAAGACCACGACCACGACCACGACCACGACCACGTCTACGACCGTGAGATGAGGATGCATTCGTTTCTGGGAATGGTGTTACTCCGGTCGGACGGGACTGGTGATTTTTCAACAAAAACTCATTATTTTGTTCAGCTACTAGTAAGCAAGAAATCAGCTCAGAGTATTTGGTAAATCGACGCTCTCGATACTGTTGCTGCAGGAGTATATTTGAGGCATGAAATGTGGAGAATGTTTTTTCAAACATGTCCTCGTCATTGATTTTTTCTCCACATAAATTGTGAGCTAATTTTGAAAAAAGCTAAATTAAACTCACTTGTGGTTTTAAAATACTGCAATCGTAGATGTATCCAGTCAAATCGAGCTTTTGGAAGAAAAATAGTTTTTTGATGCTCATATCGTTCTTTTAAATTATTCCATATGATGAGTGGGTCTCTAACTGTTAGGTACTCAGTTTTTAATTCCTCATGCAAATAATGGTGAAGAAAAATCATTGCTTTTGCACGGTCATGCAGGGACGCTTCATTATCTGCTTTAATTGTATGCCCAAGATTCACAGCATTAAGATGAATCTCGGCGTCAAGGATCCATGATAGGTAGTTTTTGCCCGAAATATCAAAGGTAACAAATTCAAGCTTGGTAAGATTCGACATTATCAAGAAACTAAAAATTATAAAATAACACAGTTAGAATTATTTCATCATAATCGAACTGAGCTATGCATCATAATAAAAAGAATAATCAATTTGAGATTATTAAAATACCGCCATTATTATAATATGATTTGCACAATGGTGATATCATATATATAAATAATAGTCAATTTATATTCATAATAGAACAAGTAGCTTGGTGGCTCATTATCTCAACTTGCGCATTAAACGGCCACCGTTCGAATTTTGTGGTAATTTTTTTTTTTTCTTTTTGCACTTTTTTTCATATGTATATCATATCCCAAAAAGGCATAATTTTCCATACATCCAATAGTCAAAAGTGCAATAAAAGTTAAACATACAAAAAGTCAAAATGTGAACATGTTTTGCAAATAGTCAAAGTTAAACATAATTGCACATTTTCTAAATATAGAATATGTATATATAAATATAATATTAAGTAAGTTCTATTGTCAACTATAACATAAAAGCTTATAAGCTAAAATAGTAAAGGAAACGTGCATGCTATATAAATGTGTGTATATATATAATATATATATATATATATATAATCAAAGACTCATAATCTTTCTATAATTTTGCGAAGCTTCATGTTCGCAAGGGTACTCAGTCTAAATGACTTCAGGTCAAAGAACTTCAGGTTCGCAAGGGTGCTTCAGCCCAACAAATTTTGCGAAACTTCGAGTTCGCTTGCGAAACTTCAGGTTCGCAAAGAGTACCAAATATTCAGGAAACTCTAGGCTCATGAAGAGTATATTAATATATGCAAAACTTTGGGTTTCCAAAAATTATTAAAAATTAATAATTTAGTATTTGCGAGACTTCAGACTCAATAATTTATTTTTTCTATAAAGAATGAACTAAAATATTATAATATAATAAATAAATAAGTATTTGTGAGACTTCAAGCTCAACAATTTTAATTATCTATAAAATATGAACAAGAACACTTTAATATAAATAATTATTTTTCTTATCCTTAGAAGTGAGAAAAAAAAATAAAATTTTCTTCTCAGTTGGCAGAGTCTCGTATTGATAACATTTTATAAATATAAAGCAAAATATATAGAAAGCAAGAACTATAAAACACAAGAAGTGAGAAGAAACAAAGAGAGAAACGAGCTTTCTATTATTATGTTCTCATTGGGTGTGTAGAACTCCATACAATTCATGCATATTTATAAGTAAAATTTCACACCTATTTTACTTTTTTTTTTTTCTCCATCTCTTGTTCACAGTCCACGCTTCCACACACACACAATCTATACATTTATTTCTTCTTACATCAATAAACCTATGTGGACCCCACAACTTTTACAACACCTATATTTTTTCTCTTTTCTAGTTTTTATATTTTTATTTATCTTTTTATCCAATAAATATTTACTTTGATAGTACAAAATAACAAAAACTAAAAAATTACAACCACGAGCAGGGGCATTAGCAGTAGAGTAATTAAGATGAAAAATGAAAGTAGGTGTTTATAATAAATAAATAAATAAAATTATCAATTTTTTTTATTTTTTTTTGTATGGAAAAAATTTGCTTACAAATCCGCTTTGCCACTATAGATTCTACCTACTTTTATGTAGCATTGAGTTTGTAGCTTGTAACAATGTCATAATTAGGCTCCTTGAATTGAGTCACAAACTCTTCAAATATATTATGCTAAATATAACATAATATACTGAGATGCAGTTTGATGTGCATATAAATATTTCACTAATATCATCTTCCTCTTTCTGTCCAAAATCATCATTTTACGGGTCTCGAAGCCAAAATGCACCATTTTTTGTTTGAAAGAATTGCAATAGCCGAATTGAAAATATAACCAGGACCTCCCTTTTTGATGCTTATATGCTGCTGCTTCAAACATATGATTTTCCTGTCTGCATTCATCTCTACCATTAGGCATTACATATAGATTATGAAACTAAATTTATTCTAACCAATAATGGAATAAGTTCACGGAAAAATGCCGAGAACAGTCACGACCGACACGGCTATGCAAGCACTACTCCAGTCCATCATACATAAAAATATTGCAAATCTGCCAGTTTTGTAAAGCAAATGTTCAAATGAAGGTCAGTTTGTCTGAAATCCCATCAACAATTTATAGGGTATAAAGCTCCATACTAGTCACACCAGTTGGGAGCTGGAAATAAGAGGGTAATGCCAAAAAGGAAGAAGGAAGCACCACTCAAATTAAAATTAAAAGCAAAGAAGAAACAAAATAATTAAAAGGAAAAATAGATGAAAGAAATCATGACAATCAGAAAAGTTTGAGAAGCTTACAAGAAAGTCACACACCCAAATCCATACCAACCCTTATATATGTATAAGGCAATGAGCTTTTGTTTATTGATTTATTCCTTTGTTCTCGACCAACAGTATGCAGGGGAGGGAAGGGAAGGAGAGTATGCAGGCCACGAATAAAAACTCTTAACCAAACCACATTTTTTTTTCCCCTTCTGTGAAAATGATTTGACAAAACTATGTATAAGTTCTCTTAGATCCATAATTTTCGTCCATCAAAAAATATTACAATCAAAGCAACAACTAAAGGGTGATCAACAAACTCAGGAAAAATGGTTAGTCGAAATCTACGCCTTGTTACAAAAAGCCTTCGAATCCCGAGCTTGTACATGAGGCTAGTCTGCATTAAATATAACAAAAAAAAGCTCAAAAGTCATTCATAATGAGAAACAGAACATATGATAATACTGTAGTAAGTACCCTGCTCAAATTTATACTTCAATTTTAGGCTTTTAGCTTTTAATGGTAGAATTTGGAGTGTCATTCAGGTTACATAAAAACAGCTTATCGCAGGAAAATGTCAAGTGTTATTCTACTTATTCCCTGATAGTTGTTTAAATTTGTATTAGATGCTCCAGTGCAGGATAGTGATCAACTCAAGTTCAATGCTGAAATATGATTCCAAATAAAAGGAAAGAACATCACCATGAACAGATTGACTTTGCACTTTGGACACCCATAGTTGATGGATATCCTTCATAAATACCGATGAAAATTTAAGAGGAATGCACACCTAGATAAGGACATTTACCACCAATAACAATATTCTTGGTGTGGTAAAAGTACGAGTTGCTAAGGTGAGAACACAGATTTGAATAAGAGGAGAGCAATTTTGTGCTAATAATGTCAAAGGTTAGGTCAGTACCCAATCTGTCCCTTCCATCACCCTCAACAAAAAGGGATCACATTAGTAACAATGACTTTTTAACATATCCAAAAACTTTACGTACAATAGAATTTTAAGTATGGCTAGCAGTTAAGGAGTCAACTTTCTACTTAATTCAGTTTGAGGATAAGGGATTTGATGTGGACAATACTAAAAATGATAAATCAGAAATAAGTAAATTCATGACAAGTTATAAGTACTAAGGTCATTAATAAATGGGAACAAACAATGGAGAGATATTCACCTGGTTTAGTTTTGAGAGAGAAGGGAAGTGAAATTTAAAAATGAAAGAATAAAACAGACAAAGCTCTGACTGTAAAGTAAAATGGATTAAAAAAATAAAAGAAATTAATGCAGCCAAACTTAACCAAATAAGATGAATAAGTTGAACTACAGAAGTTGTGTATATGTTGTGTTTTTTTGGAGTCTGATCACGCGTTGATAACGTGAAGTTTTTTGGGAAACTAATGATTTCAATATTTTTTTGGCTACTGGCGTGTTGGAACTGGTTCAGAGATTTGGTACCGGTTCCACTGAGTGATAGCCAAATCAAGGAAACGTTGAGATCAACAACTGTCCAGTGGGAATCGGTAGCCAATTCTTTGTACCGGTTCAAGAGTGGCAGAACGTTGCAGAAGTTTTTGGGCAACAAGTTGAACCGGTTCCAGAAAGGCTAAACCCGTTCAACACTTCTGAGAAGCTATGTGATTTACTTTCCTTGTTGGAATTGAACTCTACAAAAGGCAATTCTTGTGGGACAAGTTGGGTTCCATTGTATGGGGCTATAAATGTCAACCCTAATCAGTTTTTTTAGGGTGTAAAAAAGTGCGTGAAAATTAGAGAGAAATCATATGTGTTGTATGATTAATTTGTGCCAACAAAAGAGAGAGCAATTGAGAGAAAATTCTCGTTGTAATCTTCATATTCTTCATAGTGAATTTGTTCGGTGTGCTCCATGGACGTAGCCCTAAGATTTGGGTGAACCATGTATATCTTGTGTTCTTTTGTGTGATTTTTCTTTGTGAGTGCTTGTGATTATTCTTCGAACAACGTTGTTATTTGCGTTTCCGCCATAACAACTGGTATCAAATCCGGTTGATTGTGCAGAGTAACTCCAACAACTGGTATCAAAGCCCTTTGGTTAAGAACCTAGGGCACAGAAGGTATTTGACGAAATTCTGAAAGTTTTTCGATCAGATCTGTCCTTTCAAGTGGGAGTAATGGCATCAGAAGATAAGATATCCACATCCATGATCGAGAAGTTCGATGGCACAAACTTCGGTTTCTGGAAGATGCAAATAGAAGACTTCTTGTTTCAGAAAAATTTGTATCAACCTTTGGGAGAGAAGCTAGAGGATATAAAGAATGAAAAATGAGAATTACTTGATATGAAGATTCTTAGCACCGTCAGATTGACGTTGTCAAAATCAGTCGCCTTCAACATCAAGAACGAGAAGACGACGATGTCTCTCATGGCAGCCTTTTCTAGCATGTATGAACAGTTTTCAGCAGCGAACAAGGTGTACTTGATCAAGAAGTTGTTCAACATGAAGATGGTCGAAGGTGGTAAGTTCAACGAACATCTAAATGCGTTCAACGAGATAGTTGGACAATTAGAGTCTGTTGATATCGACTTCAAAGACGAGGTCCAAGCACTGCTAATTCTAGGGCAGTTACTCGAGAGTTGGAGTGGCATAGTTACAACGATGTAGCTCTGCAGGGAAGACCAAGTTGAAGTTTGATGAAATTGTGAGCATGATTCTGACTGAAGAAATCAGAAGGCAAACGGCAGGGGTTTCCACCAGTGGTTCGGTATTGAATGTTGAAAGTAGAGGCAAGGGTTCAAACAAGAAGAAGGGCAATGGTAATAGAAACAGAGGCAAATCCAAGTCAAGGAATGGAAGGACACAGTCTCAAATTTCAGGAATTCCACAGATCTCAGTGATGTTGAGTGTTGGAATTGTGGAAAGAAGGGACATTACCGTGTTGATTGCAGACTTCCAAAGAAGGGAACCGAAAGAAAAACTGAAGCAAACGTTGTCTTAGAAGAATCAGATGATGCATTAATATGCTCTTTGGAGAGTAAGGCGGAGTCATTGGTTTTAGATTCTAGCGCATTGTTTCATGGCACCTCAAGCAAAGAGCTATTTAATAGCTATGAACTGGGTAACCTTGGTAAGGTTTATCTTGATGATGATCAACCTTGCAGCATCGTTGGCAAGGGAGAAATGCAAATCAAGTTGAATGGATCAGCTTGGAAGTTAAAGGATGTGAGACACATCCCTGACTTGAGGAAAAATCTGATTTTAGTGGGACAATTGTCAGATGAAGATTTTGTTACAACTTTCAATGGAGACTCTTGGAAAGTTTCCAGAGGCATTTTGACCATTGCATGTGGTAAGAAATCTGACACTCTCTACACAACTACCAGTGCATGTGGGTTTATAGCAGTTGCAGAAAATAGAGAAGATCACAACCTTTGGCACCAAAGACTAGGTCACATGAATGAAAAGGTACTCAAGATTATGTACTCAAAGGGGAAACTACCAGGCATAAGGGCAATTGATATTGTCTTCTGTGAGAGTCGCGTGATAGGCAAGCAGAAGAGGGCCAGTTTCAAGAAGAGTGGCAGAGATCTCAGAAAGGAAAAACTTGAGCTAGTTCACAAGATGTCTGGGGGTAGCCACTATCTCATCCATTGGCGGAAAATTCTACTTCGTGACTTTCATTGATGACCACACGAGGAAGGTATGGGTTTATTGTTTAAAGCACAAATCTGAGGTATTTGATGTGTTCAAGAAGTGGAATGTCATGGTGGAGAATGAGACAGGTTTGAAGATCAAAAGGTTGAGGTCAGACAATGGTGGTGAGCATGAAGACACTGGGTTCAAGAAGTTCTGTTTTGATAATGGGATCAGATTAGAAAGGACTGTGCAAGGAACCCCACAATAGAATGGGGTGGCAGAATGGATGAACCGAACATTGACAGAAAGAGCCAGAAGCATGCGCATACATTCGGGTCTACCCAAACAGTTTTGGGCAGAAACAGTCAACACAACATCTTACTTAATTAATCGTGGACCATCGGTGCCCTTGAACTATCGAATACCAAAACAGGTATGCAGTGGCAAAGAGGTAAATCTTTCATGGTTGAAAGTTTTTGGTTGTATTGCATATGCGCATATTAGTGACCATGCTAGGGGAAAGCTCGACCCCAAGTCACTAAAATGCATCTTCGTTGGGTATGGCAGAGATGAGTTTGGTTATCGACTCTGGGATAATCAGAACAAGAAAATCATTAGAAGTAGAGATGTGATTTTCAACGAGAAGGTGATGTATAAGGGTAGAGATGCAGCACAGTTAACTAGTCTTGTACAGAGTAAGCCTGAGTTTGTTGAGTTAGATGATGATCTAGAGAACATTGACGCGGAGTAGACAGATATGGGTTCTTGGCCAAAACTCACAGAGCATAGTTCACCGCGGATTCCAACTCCTAAGCCTACACCCAAAAGGTCCACGCGACCTCATGTACCGAATCGGAAATGTTTGGATTATATGTTGTTTACAGATAATAGTGAACCTAAATGCTATGATGAAGCATGTCAGGTTGAAGATGCTAGCAAGTGGGAGCTTGCAATGAAAGATGAGATGAAGTCCCTTATCTCTAACAAAATATAGGAACTAGCCAAGTTGTCCATGGGGAAGAAAGTTTTTCACAACAAATGGGTATACAGGGTGAAAGAAGAACATGATGGTTTAAAGAGATACAAGGCGAGAATGGTGGTCACAGGCTTTCAGCAAAAGCAAGGCATTGACTACACAGATATTTTTTCCCCGGTTGTGAAACTGAGTACCATTCGCTCAGTTCTTAGTATAGTTGCAACAAAGGGGTTGCACCTTGAGCAGTTAGATATCAAAACTGCTTTCCTCCATGGTGACCTAGAGAAGGAGATTTACATGCAACAACCAGAGGGTTTCTCAGTCAAAGGGAAAGAGAAACTAGTGTGTAAGTTGAAGAAAAGCTTATATGGCTTGAAGGAAGCCCCGAGGCAGTGATATAAGAAGTTTGATGGTTTTATGAAGCGACATGGTTATAACAAGTGCAACGCTGACCATTGCTGTTACTTCAAGAGCAAATTAAAGAAGCAGTTGTCTAGTGAATTCGAGATGAAGGATCTTGGTGCAGCGAAGTAGATTCTTGGGATGAGGATTAGCAGAGACAAGCAGAAAGGTACTTTGCAGTTGTCTTAGGCTGAGTACGTCGAACAGATTTTGAAGAGATTCAACATGAATAATGCTAAGGCGGTGAGTACTCCCTTAGTTAATCACTTCCGATTATCTCAAGATCAGTGTCCGAAGATAGAAGATGAGAAAAACTTCATGGCTAAAATTCCATATGCCTCAACCATTTGAAGTTTGATGTATGCCATGGTGTGCACAATACCGGACATTGCATATGCAGTGGGAGCAGTAAGCAAGTTCATGAAGGATCTGGGCAAGCTACATTGGGAAGCAGTAAAGTGGATATTGAGATATCTAAAGGGTACCACAGACAGATGCTTATGTTTCAGAAGAGGCGAAATGAAGCTACATGGTTATGTAGATTCAGACTTTGCTGGTGAGGTGGACCACAAAAGAAGTACTATCGGGTATGTGTTTGTGGTGGGTACAACTGCAATTAGTTGGGTTTCGCAAATACAGAGGATTGTAGCGTTATCTACTATAGAGACAGAGTATGCGGCAATGACAGATGCCAGCAAGGAGATGATTTGGTTACAAGGTTTGTTGACAGAGTTGTAATTTGAACAGGTGAATAATGTTTTGCACAGTGATAGTCAGAGTGCGATACATCTGGCAAAGAATTCAGCATTTCATTCAAGGACCAAACATATAGGACTTTGGTATCACTTTATCAGATCTTTGTTAGAAGATGGGGTGTTGACACTTGAGAAAATACTTGGTACCAAGAATCCGGCTGACATGTTGACGAAGACAGTGACCGTGGAGAAACTAAAGTTGTGCGTAACTTCAATTGGTTTTTTAGCTTGAAGACAGAGAAGCGCGCTGACATGCATGAGAAGAAGATGGAATGGGTTTACAAGTGCTCCAGCCTCCAAGTGAGAGATTGTTGTGTTTTTTGTGGAGTCTGATCACGTGTTGATAACGTGGAGTTTTTGTTGGGAAACTAATGATTTCAATATTTGGCTACTGGCGTGTTGGAACCGGTTCAGAGATTTGGTACCGGTTCCACTGAGTGATAGCCAAATCAAGGAAACGTTCAGATTAGCCACTGTTCGAAGAGTGGCAGAACGTTGCAGAAGTTTTTAGGCAACAAGTTAAATCGGTTCCAAAAAGGCTAAACCGGTTCAACACTTCTGGGAAGCTACGTGATTTACTTTCCTTGTTGGAATTGAACTCTAAAAAAGGCAATTCTTGTGGGACAAGTTGGGTTCCATTGTATAGGGTTATAAATGTTAACCCTAATAGGTTTTTTTAGGGTGTGAAGAAGTGCGTGAAAATTAGAGAGAAATCATGTGTTACATGATTAATTTGTGCCAACACAAGAAAGAGCAATTGAGAGAGATTGAGAGAAAATTCTCCTTATAATTCTTCATCTTCTTTATAGTGAATTTGTTTGGTGTGCTCATGGACGTAGCCCTAAGATTTGGGTGAATCATGTATATCTTGTGTTCTTGTGTGTGATTTTTCTTTGTGAGTGCTTGTGATTATCCCTCAAACAATGGTGTTATTTGTGTTTCCGCCACAACAACTGGTATCAAATCCGGTTGATTGTGCAGAGCAACTCCAACATATGTTGTATTTTTCTAGTCATTCACACAATAAAAAGTCCTCATTTCTGAGCTATAAGAGCTCATAAATCCATTTCATAATCATTAAAACATAAAAATAAAATAAAATAAAAAATCAACTCAATAGCTGCAACTTTAAAATGTCCGGATGCTATAATTACCGTTGGGCACCATTATAATTTAAGAAAAGAACTTTGTTAAATAATTTTAACACTTATATGAGCTATAATATCATAAACGAGTAACATTTAGTGGGTAAGTTCATCGAACAACATTAAAATAGTTGTTATTAACTTTTATTCACACGTAGGAAGAAGAGGTGCAGGAGAACCAGGCAAACACCCATGGCAGGATGCTGCTGAAAAGAGGAATCGGTCACCAATTGTGAAGAAACAGACTTGGTGGATCTTGATCTGTTTTGTGTTTTTGTGGATAAGTTGGTGGAGCTTAATCTGTAATATGATAATGGCACTCTGAAAGGGTAATCAAGCTATAGGGGATTTATAAAGATTTTTAAAAATACTTCCAGTGTTACATTCTAGCAATATTAGTTAAGCTTTCAATTCCACTCAACAAGAATCAATTTATCTCACTAACTCAGAAGTGCTGCTAATTACTGTAAATAATACCTGGGCCACTATTGAATTGCCTCTATAAATGGTGCAGGACCTCTGGGAGGGGCAACCTTTCATCTTGAAATCAGAGTTCGAGTCTTCTGAATGTTCACCGACAAGGACCACCTCAAACTCGGTTCTACCAGGTGAATTTGGAGTCCTCTCCACTTCAAATATCAAGTACTCTTCGGTATCGCCCGCCTTAAAGCCTTGCCAAGATCCATTCTACAACCAGAAGATATAGCTATAAGCTAATCAATTCAAATGAACTCAAACAATGACAGTTTCTGAAGTCCGGAACCCTATTCAAGACCTCTCAGACATGACTATCACATGAAAAATGCACAATATCAGACAAATGATCACATAAGGTGCATCTAATCACCTAAACAATTGACTTGTGCAAGTATGTTTGATAACCCAAGTGGATTATGCAGCCTAACATATGAATACAGTTCTATGGTGCATTTTATAGAGCACTTTTACCATTTTACCACATATTGTGGGGTTAAGTGCAGACCATGTCTAGAAGGTGCTTGGCTTCCTTTCAATTGATATATATATATATATATATTTCCCGAATGGTAAGCTAACACACACACCCTTTTGCCCACGCCTAAACTCAAACTCCTCCCCTCCTCTTTGAGGATAGGAGGTTTTACCGCTAAGCCGAAGGCCCTTTGGTCAATTGATGTTTGAATACAAAAAAACATTTAGAGATTTGGTGGCTAATCCCTAATTCAAAGGATTATTGGTGGTTGATCTCCAATCAAAAGATCACTATAGGGTCTAGGACCCTAACATCTGGTATCAGAGCATTCGATCTAAGACCACCCAAAAAAAAAAATTCTCTGTTATTCTTCTTTATTATCTTTAATTCCATTAGTGTTCTCAATATGATGGTCAAGAACTCGCAAAAAAAAGTTGTTGCTCTTGCTAATACGGTTGACGCTATTACTACTAGGGTGGATGCGTTGTCTCCCAATTTCGAAGAGTCCATGCATGATACACAAACCACCAATGCCATTTTTCAACAAATCCAAGAGATGTTGCAGAATAGGCAAGAGCCTCAACCTATTCTTGATCATCCTCAACGTGACGATCGTGTTCTCCAAAACGACGTCAACCTTAATGATATGTTAATCAGTGGGCTAGTCCAATTATTCAAGGTCGAACTCTCCGAATCAATTTTCAAAAATTTGATGGTGTTGATCTTGAAGGGTTGTTGTTTCAAGCTGAACAACATTAAGAACTGAATGGTATTTTAGATGAGCAATGGTTCCATTAGCTGCCATGCATCTTCAAGGAGATGTTATTTCTTAGTATCGTTGGATTAAACAATCCCTTGGTGTTCTAACTTGGCAGCAATTTTTTCACTAGCCAAACGGTCTCCAACAGGCCCTGTTCGTAAATTTAATTCTGAGTTTGAGCGACATGCTAATATGGTTTCCAGTTTGGTTGAGTCGCATCAAGTTAGTTTTTTTTCTATCTGGACTTCGTGCTGATATAAGAGCTTAGTGTTCATTGGCTTTGTCCCATGAGTTTAACCGAGATATTTGAATTACTTCTCTCGAAGATGCACTTATCGCAACAACAACCCATGCTCCGCGATGCTGGCTAAATTTTTAGGCTTGAGGACAAGTCGTGTTTCAAAGGATCAGGTAATTTATATTTCCTTATTTTTCCTATATAAGGATATTGTAATAGAATTAGGGTATTGAATTGAAAAGAAACACCAGCAGGCCCTAGCAGTATAAGGCTCTTATTTCCCAAAGGGGCGTCAGGATTCGAACCCCAGTGGAGGCGGAGGTGGTGTATGTGAGTTTCCTAACTAGGAAAAAAAATATATATCACTCTAGGGTCTAGAACCCTAACAGATTTGGTCGGTTCGTGATGAAAATTGAACTCTATTCATTTTCTCACAAAAAAGTGGTTGCTTTAAATCCAATTTTGATACTTTTTACCTTACTCACCTCTAACCTGAGTGTTCTTAAATGAAACTATATAATCAATCAGTAGTGTGTGTATGTATACATCGCGTAATAAAATCCTTCAAATTCCTCCATTTCAAACGTAATGTGTGTGTATATATCGCGTAGAAACGAAGCTAATTTCTATTTAAAATTGAAAATTTTGAGTTTGGAAACAAAAAATAATTTGAAAGAGAAATTGAGAACTGACTCACATGATTACGGTACAAGGTGATAAGGGGATTTTCGGAGGCGTCGAGGACTCGCTTGCGACGGGGCGGAGTTGAGTTGGAAGATTGAATATCGACACTGAAAACAAGATCACCGGAGGCGTCGGCAAACCTGAGACCGTGATGCTTCTTTGACACGAATAAATCGACCGGAATTTTCAAATTCGCATTCGGAAATTCAGGTGGTGCTGATGTATCATCCATAATGAATGTGTGTATGTATATGTATGCAATAACTTCAGTGGACTCAGCTTAATTGTCACAACAATGAAACCATTTCATCAGAGTTGGGAGAGAATAATATTTCATCAAAGGGTGAGAGAGAGAGAATGATAATAATAATAATTGGTCTTTGAGGAGAGAGGTGAGGGAATCAGATGAGTTCTTTTCTTTTCTTTTTTTTCGAAGGGAATCAGATGCGTTCACCGGCCTGTTTTTGACATTTCTTCAACAAGTGGGAACAACAAAGTTGAAATGAAAATGACCCACGCGCACAAATTTTATGCCAAACTTGACCCAAAGTATTGAAACATCTTCGAGAAAGGGTTTACTTTTTGTTAGTGGTGCACCGGAATGGGCATTCTGGGTATGCATCAAAAGTGTAACAATTATATAGCACATTTACATTGAATGTACAAACATCTGTCCAGCATTAACACATGGTGTTATTGTTAAGAATTGTTTAAAAATATATTTAAATATAATTATAGTAAAGTATTTTGATTCATTTCTTTTGAATAATTAAAGATTCAAAAGTACTCACATGTATCTCCATGTTTTTGGATAATTCATGCAAACAAGTGAAATGTTTATACATTTATATAGTTGACATTTAGTATTGTAAATGAATCTATTAGATTCACCTCCTTTTAAAATAAACCATGTTAGTTAATCAAATTTATGATATGCATTTTGGCAAGTGTGATACATGACAAATTCATTCTCTTATAAAATTGAATATTTTAAATTCAAGTATTTTGGGATTGAACACATTTGTAAGGTTCATATTGAGAGGTTTATATAAGGACCATACTTCCCTCCTTCAAGTATGGATCAATATGAAACAAGTTCAATCCCAACGCATATTGATATTTTCTTAACTTTGAGTTAGAAGTTCTCTCTTCTAATCTATATTTGGGCATTCTGAAAAGAGATGAAGTGTTGAACCTAATAATGTATCAGGCAAATTAACTGTGGTTGGATCGAGGTCAGGCTTGGTTGAATCCTAAAAATATAGTTGCCATGATTCCTTGCATTTTGTGGGGGGTTTTGACTATCTTCAAGAAGCATTTACACGCCTCCAACATATGGTTAGGATTTTTTGAAACTTCAATTTCCGTTGTATAGGTGAGTGCCAGTGATTGTAGTAATTTATAATAATAATTTTTTCCAACAATTATAACGTTATTGTTGGTTTCAACATAAAATAATTTTCTTAAATTTTTTTTTTTCTAGGTCAAATATATATATATATATACACACACACACATACAGGGTGGGATGTGTTAAATAACTTGTTGAAAATTGATGAGTAATTTTTTTTTTTTTTTGTTAAGTTTTAATATTTTTTTATTCGTAAATATTTTACAAAATACTAAAAATATATATTTAAAAATACTAAAAAAAATATTTAAAACTGGTGCATTCACAATACAAAATTGTTACATTATACATAGGAAAAGAGGAAGATGTACAACTGGATCCTAATTTGTTGAAAATGTTTAGGGCTCATTTGGCATGCTTTTTGTTTCTGCTGTTTTTGTTTTTGAACTGCTACAATGTCGATTTTGGCAACAAAAATATGTGTTGGTGTGACTTTGTTTTATTTTACACTGTGCTAAAACACTTTCGTGAACAGTAGCCCAAAAGCAAAATACCAAAAAGTTTTTTTTTTCATTTTTTGATAACTGTTCATAACCCAAAACCATAACAGTAGCGTAACACGGGCCAAAAACAAAACTCCTAAAACATCATTCCCAAATGTGTTTTCGATTTTTTTTCAAAACACTTCAGCAAAAACACTGTTTTTGTTTTAGCCAAAAACAAAACGCCTAAAACAAAATGCATGCCAAACGGGCCCTTAGAGTTCTACCATTTGTGCATTTTCAGGTTGCAACTAAATCCAACTAACCTTCCGGATGTTCAATTTGGGTTGATCAAATTATTTGGTCAATGTTGAGTAATATTGGGAGTGATTAACCTTGCAACATAGATGTGGAGGGAAAAATCTCCCTCCAATAAGAGCAGTCCACGTCATCATAAATATAACTTTATCTTCGATAAAGGTCAAAGCCCATCTCGTTAGAAGCCCAAGTTGAGTTGGTCATTAGCCCAAAACTACTATTATCTAACTACCAGCTTTACTAAAGCTCGAATCAAGACACCAGTAGTCATGTGGACCAAGTTAAATGCGGCCCAAATCTATTTAAAGAAGGAGCCGGTCCTGCAAGGAAAAGGATTCATCAAAGGAAGCAAGTTCTGTGTAAGGAAAACCCAGTAAGGGAAGAATTATAAAGAGGAAAGAATTCTATTTGTAAAGAAATTGATATATGGAAAGAATTAGAGGACAAGCAACGCGAGTCATACCATAATTCTTCTAACTTTTATATATAAATAGAGGCCCAGACCTCCAGTAAAAGGATCAAGCAATTCTACGCCCCTCTAGACACTGTTCTTGTTTATCTTTGTTATTTATTGAGTGAGTTGTTTTATTTTTCTCAATCATTATTGGTTGAGCGAAATTTTGCACTTACACTTTGGCGCCGTCTGTGGGAATCATGTGCAAATATACTTGCGATACCCCTCGGATCCGAGACGTGGGTTGATCAGGTCCGAGTCCAAACCCGGAGGATATCAAATAATTAAAGTATTTTAAATCGAACACGGAATACAAAGTGAAATAAGAAATAAAATTAAATAACTGGAAGAAACTAAATTAATAAACCTTGAAATAAAATTATTCAAATCTGGTAATCCAAAACTCCATAAGTTTATAACTCGAGAATCCATCCAGTGGACCCCTTTTTAATATTCTCAATTCAAAACTGAAATGATTGAAATAAATTCCAAAGCTAATATAGAGAAGATTCCTACTTAGTCGGAGGAATGAATATTTGTATCTGCTCTGCACGTCCAAGCTCTAACCCTGGAACTGATGAACACCTGAAAAATAAAGGAGTGGGTCAGGCCCACATGCAAGTCCTGATCTACTACAATCCAAACAGTAATCCGACACGCAGATACATCCTAGGAAGACTCAACAATATCTAGAGTAGTCCATATATGTACATAGTACACATTATAGGACGCTCACTAGTTCAGTAGGTCTGTCTCAGCCTGAATAGAAGGCAACATGCAAATACGCACCCTAAGGTGGGCATGAGTACCTAGACCTACCAGGGAACAACACCTATGTCCAGTTATCCATCCTAGGCGATATACGCACCCTAACCATGGTCCTGAGACTCAGGCTCATACCATAGCACATAAAATAAATATAAAAAGTCTGTACTTCCTATACAAAATATCAGTCATCTATGTAGTGGTCTGATATATGTAAACACTCCATCCTGAAACCGTAGTAAGTCTTTCAATTCACAATTGATATGACACATGTAGGTGATGGACTTAACCTTTATGGTTAATCCATACCTTAATCCAATTTGGGTAGGACTTAATATTTTGAACTAATCCATTCCCAATATAGGTAGGTCTTAGTATTTTGAACTAAGCCATCCCTAATATGACACCGTCCCATTCCGGTTCATATATATATATCCATATAAGTAGAACTTAACTTTTTATTTTATGGTTAATCCAACTCATTCCAAATTAGGTAGGATTAGTGTTTTAACTAATCATACCTAGTATGTCACCGTCCCATACCGGTACATACAATCCTCCAGTTAACACAGTTGACAGAAATAGTAGAATTAACTATCAACGCATTCCAAAACAATCATAAGTATAGTTTAACATGTGTGTCACTAAACCATGTCTCCACTGAAAATTCAGAATCCAAGTTTCAGTCTATTAAATTGATAAAACAGGTTTATGCAATTTTGCTTATCCAAACAGTACCCTGACTGATGCACTTTATGTACAGATTTAAGCATCAGTTTAACCCAACTAAGCATACACATTATTGAATAAAAACATGCTTAAAACACAGTTGTAAAACATAATCCAAAACTTAAGACCATGCAAAAGTATCAAATCTCCTCCAAACAGTGTCCTAACAGAGATATACAACATATTTAATTGTCCGTTAATTCCAACCAAGTATACCTATAATTCAATAACAGAATGCTTAAACCTTAGCTACACAACATAATTTAAAACTTAGGGTCGTGTACAGGCATCAGATTTCTAAAACAGTCTGTACTTCAAATCAGTGGTTTAATCTTTCACATACAGCCCTTGTTTAAACTTATGTTAATTCTATCCTTTATTCTAGAATATAAGCTTGCTTCTCCATTATTTTATAAGTCCTAAGCAGTATATTACATCATTCAATAGCCTTTAAATAGTTTCAGAAACTCAGATTTAACGAACCAGACCATTTAAAACTCAGTATACGTGATATTTAAGAGAAAGAGAAGGCTCTGTGTTTTAAAGAGCCTTCTCCAAATAAGTAGAGCCTTCTCCATTCAAGTAGAGCATTCTCCACTCAAGTAGAGCCTTCTCCAAATAAGTAGAGCCTTCTCCACTTTAAGTATACGTCTGTTCTTCTTCTGTTGTCTTCTCCGACTCCGGTGGTTTCCAGTCATTGAACTTAGTTTTATTTCAGGTTTTAAGATCCCATCCATATCCAAAGTAATCACAAGACAGAGTTATATAAACAAGAATTTAATTAAACATCAGTTTGTAATGCAACGACAATCAGTTTGCAATCTACCGATTTCCTTAGATTTATTTTGCTCCATTCTTATGCTTAATCATGGATTAATGTTTCCCATAATATATTAAGCCTATTATAGTCCTAAGACATCAATTAAACAATTTATACGAAGTGGTAATCATCTGAACAGTCCATACAGTGCCCAAAGTCCAATTTGTGTGCATTTGGGTGAGAGCAGGCTCCATAAAATTTGAGCCTGCTCTTTTAAATGTTGGAGCCGGCTCCCTAACTTAGGGAGCCTGCTCTTTTCAGCATGGAGCCGGCTCTTTGTGTGAGGGAGCTGGCTCTCTCATTTTGAGAGCTTGCTCTCTCTCTTTCCGGCGCGTTCTGCGTTTTTCCACTTCATCTTCCTCGCATCCGGCGATACCCAAGCCTCTGTAAATAATTTAATACATGTTCTAGGGTTCCATTAAATGTTCTAGATTAACCCTAAATCCATGGTATACAACCACGACATGAATTGGACACACCGTTTGAAAACTACGACAACAGAGTTTTCAGTTAGAAAATTTAACCGATTTCAAAACAGATTAATTCTGTAAACTCCAACCCTATTTTAATACTGGTTCTAGGATTAAATCCTAGACCTAGACAAAATCCTAAA